TTTCTTTCTTTTGTATGAAAATGAGCTATACAGAGCGTGTTTTTGCTGTCAGATCATTGCTAACTGTAATCAAGAAGTTCATATAAATTTGGCCTTGATACTTATAGGCTTGTTGAATATCCTCTTTCACTGAAACTAAATCAGATTGTAAAATAGGATGTTAACTGCTATTTATGTCAGATTTAGGTGCTAGTTTGATGTATTTTTCTGTATGAAACCATCATGGGACACATGCTTACCATAATTTAATATTAGTCATAATTCAGTCAGGCGAGGCGCAGTAGGTAGTGCTGTCGCCTCACAGCAAGAAGGTCGCTGGTTCGAACCTCGGCTCAGTTGGCGTTTCTGTGTGGAGTTTGCATGTTCTTCCTGCCTTCGCGTGGGTTTCCCCAACAGTCCAAAGACATGTGGTAGAGGGGAATTAGGCAAGTTATTGTATAACAATGGTTTGTTCTATAGATTATCGAGAAAAAAAAGCTTAAAGAGGATAATAATATTGACCTTAAAAGGGTTTTAAAATTTAAAAACTGCTTTTATTCTAGCCGAAATAAAACAAATAAGACTTTCTCCAGAAGAAAAAATATTTTCAGACATACTGTGAAAATTTCCTTGCTCTGTTAAATATTGTTTGAGAAAAAATAAATAAAAATAAAAATCACTGGCGGCTAATAATTCTGACTTCAACTGTAAATCACTCGTGCTTGACACTTCGTCCGTGCCTGGTGTGAACGTACTATTAGGCTTGATACTTTTTTGGCATGATTTTTGGTGTCGCTTCTCCTTTCTTCAAAATATCTTCTTTTCATGCTAAACAGGTTTGGTCCCACTTGAGGGTGAATACATATTTATTTGAGTGAACTGTGCCTTTAAATATTTCAGAATATAAGGAGATTGATTTGTTCCCGTTGAAATTCAATTAAAAGACACATTTGTTAAGAAAGCACAGCAGAGTTTCATCTATCCTTTTCCATATTTGCTTTACTTTACATGATCTGCATTTAAAGCTAATTTGATTTCGGCTAATAGAGCCCTCCTGTCTCGAACCTGAGGAACTAGTGTTTTTTTTCCCTCAGGTTAAGTCAATCTAAAGCATCTGTAGACAATAGAAGTTAAAAAAGATGAGAGACATTCAGTAGCACACAGCAACCAGAGCCAAAATGATTTATTAATGGTTTATAGTAGCTCTTGGCACAAACACTGTTTGAGAAATGCGAGTTGGAGATGTTTTAGGCAAAGAATATCGAAAGTAGCGTTTTGTGTGCCCGCGTCGTCCAATTTTCCCTCTCACGGCTCCCATAAGAGAGATTTTTCCTCAGCGATCTCGATGCTTTCAGCAGAAAAGGGCTGCAGCTTTGCTATTTCAGACCCGTTTATTTAGATACACAGAAGAAAGGGTGAAATCAATTTAAACTGATTCCAAAAGATGACTGTGAAAATGAGTATATAAAGTCTATAAATGTTTAACGGATGGATCAGTATTTGTTAGAGCTGTCCTCCCTCGTCTGACCAAACATGATGCTTCCTGCCATTCTTTTTTTTGTTATTATTATTGGCAATCGTAGGTTGTGAATTATTTGAAGACTGTATTAAAACACTGTAAATGATGGTTTACTGCTGAGAATTGAAGTCTTGTCTAATTCTATCTTTCAGTCAAATATACACTCAAAAAATGCTGTTTAAAACAACAATTTTTGAGGTTTTTGGGAGAAGAACTTCATTTTTTTATGTTTAATCTACTTAAATTTGTAAAAACTAATAAGTTAACTTAATTCCTTTTAATTCCGATTGTGTGGAAACCAGCATTTTTTACAGTGCAGGTACACTATATTTAAAAAAGACTGACTTAATAATTGTAAGGCATCATTTTTTGAGTTGACTCAACTTTTACCACGTTCTTACTGTTATTCATTCAATCATTTTCTTTTCGGCTTAGTCCCTTTATTAATCTGGGGTCGTCACAGCGGAATGTACCCCCAACTTATCCAGCATATGTTTTACACAGTGGATGCCCTTCCAGCTTCAACCCAACACTGGGAAACATCTACACACTCATTCACACAAATAAATACACTACGGACAATTTAACCTACCCAATTCACCTGTACCGCGAACGCAGGGAGAACATGGAAACTCCACAGAAACACCAACTGACCCAGCCGAGGCTTGAACCAGCGAACTTCTTGCTGTGAGGCGACAGCACTGCCTACTGTGCCACTGCGTCGCCCATTCTCACCATTATGTACTTGTTTATTTTATTTTTGGCCTTTTGTTTTTGTTATACCTGCTTTCTGAAACCGTTCATCATCACAGTCAACTCCTCTCTGCGTCTTAAGTTCACTGACATACATGGCGAGCTACTGGGCAAACTGGTAACAGCAGTAAAGCCGACCCCACGGAGGTATGTGGTCAGCTGGTAATGCAAAAACAGAAGCCGTCTACAGCGTCATACCGCTCTGGCTACCTAATTCACGCTCTCCAGAAATGTATAGGGGTACGTTTTCTTGTGTTGAAGAATTGACTCACCCTTCACTTGTTCAAAACCTGTTTCAGTTTCTTTCTTCTGTTAAACATAAACTAAGTCATTTTGTTTTAAGGAGAAACTCACTTAATTTTTACTTAATATTTCTAAAAATAAGTCAATATTTTGTACGTGTCTAGAAAATGCTTCTTGATTTAAAAATTTTTAGATGTTAGGACTGGAAATGAGACAAAAATAAAGACATTTTTGCAATGTGGTTCTACTTTTGGGTTAGCATTTCTTCATATTAGCCCCTTTTTACACATACAGACCTTTCCGGAAAATTACCGGTAATTTTCCGGAAAGGTCTGTATGTGTGAACAGGCTCTTTTTGAAAATACTGGTAAATTCATTTTGGCTATTTTCCGGAAAGAGAAGATGTAACATCACTGGTAATTTGCCGGAATGCTGCGTTGTGTGAACGCAGAAGGAAGATTGCTGGAAAGAGCGCGTTCATGTCTAGAACATGCTGACGTAAAACGTCTACTTTAGCCAATCAGAACAATCAGACGCATTCATCTCCGCGCGGTTTGTGAGAATAAAAGCCTGTGAATGTTTTCCCAGACATATTTAGATGCTGGATGTTTGTCAGATAACATTTATATGTTCCTTCTTAATGCCAATGGTCAATAAAATGCTTATAAGCTGTTGTTTGTTTACCTTCAAGCTCTGACGCATGTGCACGTAAAGCAGCCGGTGAGCGCCAGCACACACACATATCATGTACATCTCAGAGTTTGTAATGTAGTCAAGTGTTTACAAACACAAGCGCAGCTGTTAAGAGCTCATTTCTGGTTGATGTCAGAATTTCCTGGTATTTTGGAATGGATGGGTGAATGGTCCTTTCCGGAAACATTCCATAACATCCTCGTCTGTGTGTACAGCGCTTTTTTTTTAAGTCGTTCTGTAAATTTTCCGGATATTTACTGGTATCACTGCGTGAAAGGGGCTAATGTTATTTTGACATCCAATAACGATGTGAAATGACGTTGGTATTTGGTTGATTTTAGGTTATGTTGGAAAGTGACCAATATCCAACGTTGAGCCAACATCTTAAACCAACGTCATATTGACGTCAAATATTGACATTTATTTGTCATGTATGGCAATCAAAATCCAACATTTCATAGACGTCATATTGGTAACGTCCACACAATGTCAAGCTCTAACATCATTAGAAGTTGATTTTAGGTTGCGTTGGAAAATCACCAAAATCCAATATTGAGCCAACATCTTATACCATCATATTGAAGTCAAAAACTGACACTTATTCATCAGGTATGGCAACCAAAATCCAACATCTGATAGATGTCATAGTGGTAACGTCCACACAACGACAAGCTGTAGCATCATTAGACGTTGATATTTGGCTGATTTTAGGTTGAGTTGGAAAGTGATCAAAATCCAACGTTGAGCCAACATCTTAAATCAACGTCATTTCGGCGTTTAATATTGACATTTATTCATCAGGTATGGCAACCAAAATCCAACATCTGATAGACGTCATATTGGTAACGTCCACACAACATCAAGCTGTAACAACATTAGATGTTGATATTTGGCTGATTTTAGGTTGAGTTGGAAAGTGATCAAAACCCAACATCAAGCCAACATCTTAAACCAGCGTCACATTAATGTCAAATACTGACATTTATTCGTCAGGTATGGCAACCAAAATCCAACATCTGATAGACGTCATATTGGTAACGTCCACTTAACCGTAACATCATTAGACAGTGATATTTTGTTGATATTAAATTGGACATTGAACAATGCCGTCAGCCTGACATTGAGTTCTGATGTCAACCCGATTTTAATTTCCAAACAAAACACAATGTAATTTTGTGTCTTCATTTTTGTGGTTAAAAGAGCATCAGTGTGTGGACATCGAAGCTTTGACATCAAATCAATTACTTTTTTTTTTTTTTTTTTTTGACATGTTGGCATCCTGTGCCTGTTGGGTTACTTATGAACTTTTTAATAAATATAAGTGGTGGAACAACATACATGCATATTTTGACTACAAGCTAAAAATAATTTGACATTTTAAACCACAAAATCACACTTTTGCATAAAGTGAACAGTTCCTGTTATCACGACCATTTAAATCATCACCAGCTGAAAGGGAAAAGGTGTAATAATTTCAAAAATGCAAATGAGTTGTGGAGCAGTGGCGTGTCTGTATTTCTGACACAGAGCAGATATGCTTTTTCCATCTCCAGAGCTCATGCATGGGGAAGCGTAATTGCATTTGTTTTGGCTGGAAAAGCGCATGAATGTGGCTGTATGCGGAGCTCCACTTAAATCTCCCTGAGCTCCACAAACACCCTCTTACTCACCCATGAACATACCATGCACATGCTAAAACACGTTTACACGTCTTTCCATCAACATGCGGGGGGATTTTATTAGCGGCATAAATGGTGGCTATTTTAAAGTCCAGTGTGCATATAAATCATTTCACCAAACTGTTTTTTTTCAGTGACGCTGGACTGCGGCACACGCCAGAGCGAGAGGTAAGAATGCCGTGGGCCTAATGAATCATATGCTTTTTTTTAAAGTGCTGCTAAAAAACTCCTCATTAACCGTTTCCTCTTCGTTTGGCATTAGCGGCGCTCGTAAAGGAGGAAATAATGAGACCTACTGGAAAGAGCTCCACGCCGCCATGGCCCTGACCAACCTGGCTCAAGTAAAGGAGAGCTCCGCGGCGGGTACAACCAGCTGTATCATCCAGAAGTCTTCCCATATAGCGGAGATTAAGACTGTCAAAGTGCCCATACAACCCCGACATTAGCGGCTAACAGGCTGGACTGCGGTCGTAATCGCTAAGACTACCTGAACACTTGAGTACGTACAGTAGCCTACTTCATGCAATAATTTAGCTGAAAATGATCCACGACAGCCTTTTCGGATACATGTCGATTGACCAGCGTGCCTCTTATTTCTTTAAACCACTGTCTGATGAAAAAGAATAATGTTTGATTTATGGAGAGTACAGCTATGTTTCCATACAAAGACGCAAAACTGGAATATCGCATAAAACGTTTGCGAATAAACGACTTTTTTTGTCATGAGAATCTAAGAGAAATTTATTTATAAACTAATTTCACACTTAGCTGATGATTGATTATGGTTTGGCTTGCTGTCCCGGGAGAGAGCCCTGAGCTCATAAGATCCTCGAGCCCTAGGCTCCCTCCCGTTTGCCTGGCAAGAGGGGAGTTTGAGCTCTGGTAGATCTCGAGAACTCCCCTGCTGTAGTAACTAATGAACTTAGTGATTGCTCTTAAGAGATAACTACTTACTAGGAGCATCTCTATGGTGTCGATTTGGATTAGTCAATTAACTTAAGTTGCGTGTTTTTGGACGGTGGGAGAAAATCAGGGAAATACACGGGGAGAACGTGTAAACTCCAGACAGAAGTGTCAACTGGCTTGGTAAGGACTACAACCAGTGATATTCTTGCTGTGAGGCAACAGTGCTAACCACTGGGCCACCGTGCCACCCATCTAGGAAAGAAGGAGGAGTAGGGGTTGAAGGGGGGGATTCTTAAAAACGAAGATGGCTGTTATATGGAACTTAGGGTATTTATAGTGGCTTAGGAATTGTCTGATTGGTGAATGATAAATTGAATAATGCGGGACCGGACGAAAGCAATCATAAGCATGTGATCCTCTTGAAATTAGTCTATAAATAAACTTCACTTCCAGAGGACCACATGCTTATGATTGACCACAGCTGGTCCCGTATTGGCTAAACATGATTCACCAATCACATGATTCCTAAGACACCAAAAATAACCAGAGTTTCATACCTCATCTTCGTTTTGAAGAATCGCCCCTACTCCTCCCGTTTCCTAGGTAGGGTGGCACTGTGGCCCAGTGGTTAGCACTGCTGCCTCACAGCAAGAATGTCACTGGTTTAAGTCCTTACCAAGCCAGTTAAAATTTCTTTGTAGAGTTTATAACGTTCTCTCTGTGCTCGCAGTTTCCCCCAGGTTCCCGTTTCCTACCACCGTCCAAAGACATGCGACATAAGTGAATTGACCAAACAAATTGGCACCACAGATGAGCTCTTAGTTAGTAGAATATCTCTCCATAGCAATCCCCAATTCGTCATTAGCCATAAAAAAGCAGGGGAGTTTTCAAGATCTACCTCAGCTAAAACTCCCCTTTCACCCCTGCAAATGGGAGAGAGCCCTAGGGCTTGAGGATCTTATGAGTATAGGGCTCTCTTTCGGGACAGCATGCCAAACATGTTTCACAATCAATCATCAGCCAAGTATGAACTCTTGAAAAGAACAAAGTCGTCACACCTTGATTAATTGGTGCCAATATTAAAAGGAAAAATGGGGTTTGCTGCGGTGAGATGCCATTGTTGGCCTTTTTTTATATAAAATAAATTAGTTGCGCCTTAAAAGACGAAATGCAACAAATTGGCCACTCAAAACAGTTCTGGAGTTAATAAAACTGAACCACTTTGACGATGGACTTTAGCTGAGGGAATTTAGAATGACCAAAGCAACATACAACATACATTTGTCCATTAACGCTGTCCAATTTTTATCATTTGGTAAAACAAAATCACTTTTTTGATGCAAATGCCTGAATTTTTGACGTCTTTTCCATTGCAGTTTATGTACTTTTCTATTATTGGAAAAATAATTAATCCTACCTAGTCCGCATATGTTTTTTTATGTGCCTTTTCAAGATGTATGCACATCTAGAAGTTTCCATTAGGCATTTTTAATGTGATATTCCAATGCTATCTCAAGGCAGTTTGTAACTTTTTGATTTAGTGGCTAATTCGTGTGAATTCGTATGATCGCATTCGTACAATTTAGTACGATTCAATGAGGGTTGGGTTTAGGGATGGGGTTTTGAGCTACGCCAACTTTTAAAAAATGTCAATTTTCGTACAACTGAACTCGCACGAATTAGCCACTAAACTGACGAAACATAAAATAGTTACGTTTCATCGTGAGATTTTGATATTCCGAAAATGCACATAGCAATATGGAAACATGGCTAGTTACTACCACTATACACATTCTGATTTATATCGTCACGGTTTCTGAAATAGTTTTTGTGGGTGGCTAAAATGTAATATATTCATATTATGTGTTCCTTTTTTTCTAAGTTATGTTAATTTTATTTTTCAATTGACACAGGATTGTTGTCATCCTATGGCAATGACATATATATGTGGATTCTTGTGTTTAATGATGGCATATAAAGTCATGTTTTGTTTTTTGGAATATTCCATCTATGGGTGAAGAAGTTTTTGAAAAAAGAAAAAAAAAAAAACAATGTTCTTAGAGGGCTTTTCATTTGGGTCATTGCCTGTGAAGATTATCATGCAAACAGTCAGTCGAGAGCAAATAAAGTTTTCTGAAAACATTTACATGGTATCATTTAGCAGATGGGTTTTATCCACAAGTAGCTTACATATGACGACACAGAAGCAATCAAGCAAAATAGATGAGTTACAATATGCAAGTCCTATACCCAACAAGAAATGTTCTGTTAAATGTTCTGCCATCTTGGCTAAAACAAAGCCAAATTTGGGGTGGCAGTGAAAGTATAAAAGACATCTAACTTTTTACCCTTTTTACTCTGGTTATGGTTGTTTACCATGTCTAAAGTTGAAGACCATTACAGAATGAGATGAGCATTGCAGATTTGCTAGCCACACTTCTCTTCTCAAAGCTTCAACGCTTTTGTTGTGTAGAGAACAGAAGTGGTCCAAAGACCGAGCCCTGAGGCACCCCAGTGGATAGACATCGATATTTGGACACTTCACCCCAAAAGACACCTCGGAGGGTCTGCCTACAACACAAGACTCAAAACCATTGAAGTGTGGTTCACATTTCATGATAGTTGACAGGAGGTTCTGCTTGTTTACTATCTCCAAAGTTGCAGACAGTTAAAGAATGAGATGAGCAATGCATATTTGGTAGCCACACTTTCCCTTCTCAAAGCTTTAACGCCTAAGATTGGCATCTACACTTTTACTTGAACTTTTCTTGAAATGGAAATAGGTATGTGTGCAGGATTAAAAGTCATGTTTCTGAATGATAAATCCTAGTGAAACTGTAGATAGAGAATAGAAGTGGTCCACTTACCAAGCCCTGAGGCACCTCAGAAGTTAGACGTTGGGATTTGGACTCTTCACCCCTAGAAGACACCATGGGGGATCTGCCTGAGAGGTAAGACTCAAAGCGCTGCAGTGTGGTTCACATTTCATGATAGTTGATAGGAGGTTCTGGTTGTTTACTACATCCAAAATTGCACACAGTTACAGAATGCAATGCAGATTTGTCTTCATCAAATCTTTAAGTGTCTTCAACGCTTTAAGTTGGCACAAAAGTTTTTGGGCGAACGTTTCCCTAAAATGCTGTGTAGAAGGTACAAGTGTGAAGAGATAAAAAGCCATTTTTCTGAATAATAAATCCTGGTGAAATTGTGTAGATGGAGCATAGAAATGGTCCATGGACCAAACCCTGAAGCACCCTAGTATCTAGACATAAGAATTTGAACACTTCACCCCAAGTAGATGCCATAGAGGATCTGCCTGTGAGGTAAGACTCAAACCACTGGAGTGTGGTTCACATTTCATGATAGTTGATAGGAGGTTCTGGTTGTTTACTACATTTAAAGTTGTAGACAGTTACAGAATGACATGTGCAATGCAAATCTGGTAGCCACACTTTCTATTTTCAGGGCTTCAACTCTTGTGATTGGCATCCACACTTTTAGTTAAACTTTCCTTAAAATGCTGTGGAATAGGTAGAAGTGTGAAGGTCTGAGAAGCCATGTTTCTGAATGATAAATCCTAGTGAAGATCTGTAAATACAGAATAGAAGTGGTCCACAGGCCGAGCCCTGGGGCACCTAAGTAGTTAGACTTTGGGATTTGGACTCTTCACCCCTAGAAGACACCATGTCAGATCTGCCTGTGAGGTAAGACTCAAACCACTGGAGTGTGGTTCACATTTCATGATAGTTGATAGGAGGTTCTGGTTGTTTACCAAGCCCAAAATTGCAAACAGTTATAGAATGAGATGAGCAATACAGAAATGGAAGCTACATTTGAAGGGATAAAAAGCCATGTTTCTAAATCATAAATCCTAGTGAAGTCGTGTAGATAAAGAATAGAAGTGGTCTACGGACCAAACCCTAAGGCATCCCAGTAGCTAGACATTGGGATTTGGACACTTCAGCCCTAGAAGACACCTTGGCAGATCTGCCTGAGAGGTAAGACCAACAGGTGCAGATGGCTACAAAATGAGATTTGGAAGCCACACTTGCTAATCTCAGAGTTTCAACCCCTGAGATAAGCACCTACATTTTTGTTGCATGCTAACATTGCTAACAATGCAACATGTGACAAAGAAGTCGCTTTTTGTTCATTTAAATAAACAACAACTCGCTTCGGCAGTTAACTTTTAAATATGTGGGGGCTCGTCCGGGATGTTTACTATCCCTTTAAATGCTGTAGGAAAGGTACCAGTGTGAAGAGATGATTTGAGCTAATGATACACGTGCCACTTAAAGAGAAATGACTAAAATACAACTGTGTTTTAATAAAATTGGCTATCATTACTTTGTTTTCGTTGTGAGGTACAATATAAAGTAATATCCTGTAAAACACTACTACCTCAATAGCTATTAATAAGCAGCAAATTAGAGTTTATTAAGGCAAAAGTCATAGGTAATGGTTTATTTATAGTGAGAATTGCACCTTAAATGTGTAACTCAATATTGATATATTATTGGGTTAATATTATCGAATTATTATCATTGTCTTTTTTATATTAACCAATTTCCATTTTAAGTTCTGGTATTTTTATTGTGTGTTTTTGTCGTTTAAATGTTTCTGTTAACATTTATACATATTTTTTGACATAATTTTAACACTGTTAAAATTGCTATTGTTTTTAAGCATTATTTTTTAATTATTTTTTAAAACATGACAGCGAGATATTTGTGTATAAATTTAGACATTGAAGGAAAAATGAACCTCCATAATCTTCCATCTAATTCAGTGTGGAATATATATATATATATATATATATATATATATATATATATATATAAATATATATATATATATATATATATATATATATATATATATATATATATATATAAATATAAATATAAAGAGTCTGAGCCGCATATTAGTAAAGGCAACTAGAACTGGAATCTGATAAAGAAATAGCTTTACCCATGCCGAAACCGTTACCTCTGACATCTGCACATGAGCTCAGCTGCTCCCATATTGGACAAGCATTTGCATTTCAGTTATGTAGCTCTACTAGATAAGCTAAGCTAAGTTTGAACAGTCCGTTATGTTTGAGTTTTGCCGCACACATTTAAACGGTTCAGTCAGCAGTAAGAAATTAAGCATATCTCATTACAGACCTGACCGCATGCTCCGTGTTTGGCTCTCAGCTCTTCTTTCTCCCCACCCACGCTTAAGGGAAGACTAACACATATAATATTCACCATTCTTTAGCCTAGCCCTCATCTAGAATCATTCAGTGGTCAGCTGCACCCACTGAATCAACACAAAGAGCCCAGCACAAATAGTAAAACACCTAGAATTGAAACGGAGAGCTAGCAGGAAAAAGTGTCACGCTGGAGGAAATCTGTCGATTTTGATGTAGTTTCTGTTCTAGGCATCAAGGCGGTATTTATATAAAAGTTAAAGTCATGCCACATTAAAGAGTGAAATCTGATTGCTTGCGTTTTTATGCTTTCCTGGAACATACACTTCAGACAGATTTTATCAGATATATGAAATCAAAATCACACATACTGTACATCTACAATATATTTTAAAGGGTATTAAAATAAGTCTCTGATGTTCCTTGAGTGTGTATGTGAAGTTGAAGCCCAATATAGCACAGAAATAATCTCAGTACAGTTATTTGTTATACCCATGTTTGTTTTGTTGTATATTCATTTAAAGATGTTAGCATTTGAGTGCAGAAAATCTCAAATATATTATCTGCATAACGACAAACTGAAGACTACACAATATGCAGACAAAAAAGAAGACAGACACTAAATGATTAAAGATAATAGGTTTTAATTCAGTCAGACCTAAAGCAGCATCTGCCTTGTCTATGTCTTCGTAATTAAATATGCAGTTGTACCACATGTCCAGAACATTCCAGTGATCCACAGCAGCACTCAAAGTTTTCCAGAGACACCCACTGCACTAGTGTCATTCAGAAATCCTTACCAACCTCATTGTCTTCTGGTGACCCTCACCAACCTCATTGTCTCTGGTGACCCACACCAGCCTCATTGTCTTCTGGTGACCCTCACCAACCTCATTGTCCTCAGGTGACCCACACCAGCCTCATTGTCTTCTGGTGACCCTCACCAACCTCATTGTCTCTGGTGACCCACACAAGCCTCATTGTCTTTTGGTGACCCTCACCAAACTCATTGTCTCTGGTGACCCACACAAACCTCATTGTCTTCTGGTGACCCTCACCAACCTCATTGTCTCTGGTGACCCACACCAGCCTCATTGTCTTCTGGTGACCCTCACCAACCTCATTGTCTCTGGTGACCCACACAAGCCTCATTGTCTTCTGGTGACCCTCACCAACCTCATTGTCTTCTGGTGACCCTCACCAACCTCATTGTCTCTGGTGACCCACACAAGCCTCATTGTCTTCTGGTGACCCTCACCAACCTCATTGTCTTCTGGTGACCCTCACCAACCTCATTGTCTCTGGTGACCCACACAAGCCTCATTGTCTTCTGGTGACCCTCACCAACCCTCATTGTCTCTGGTGACCCTCACCAACCTCAATATTTTTGGTGACCCTTACCAACCCCCTTATGTTTTGTTGATCCTCACCAACCCCATTGTATTTTGGTGACCCTGATCAACCCCATAGTTTTTAGGTGACTCTAACCAACCTATAGTCTTTAATGAACCTCACCAACCTCAATGTCTTTTGGTGACCCTCAGCAACCCCCATTGCCTTTGGACACCTTCACCAAGCCCAATATTTTTGGCGATTATCACCCACCCTCATTTCATTTGCTGACCCTCACCAACCCTCTGTGTCTTTTGGTGACCCTCACTAACCCCATTATCTTTGGTGACCCTCACCAACACTAATTGTCTGGGAGATTCGCATCATGGATGTGCAGCTGACAAACCAGCTGCAACTGTGTGACGCTATCATGTCAATATGGAGCAAAATCTCTGAGGAATATTTCCAGTACCTTGTTGAATCTATGCTATGAATGATTACAGCAGTGGCCAGTGATTGTTTATATTCCTTGGGACCCCCTGTCTTGATTTTTGATGCTTTAATGATGGCTAAATGTAGTTATTAACTTGTGACTTTTCAATGAAAGAAACCAAACCCAAACGTCATTAGTTTGGATGAGTGACTTAATGTGCCACAAGTCGACAGACAAATCTAGACACTTGTGATTGGCACCGTAATAGTAGATTGAGAGTTTGTATATGTAGTGCGCAGTATAGATATGTTTCATAATATATCCTGCTAAACTAATACGCAGTTGTAAGTATCAATTTCCTGTCTGTGTGTGATTGCCACATACCATATACACACATCTGGAGCTGATTTACTACTAATAATGACGATTCAAACATTCAACAAAAGACACCATAAGCTGTGGAGGAACAAGGTATAAACACTTCAAGCTAGATATTTTAATGGAGAGAAAAAAAAAGCAAAACATTATATAATTACCCCTAATTTTCCACTACATAACACAGGGGTGGGCAAACTCTGTCCTGCGTAGTTTAGCTGCAACACAAATCAAACACACCTGAACATGCCAAGACATCAGTGTCTTTACGATCACTAGAAATCTATAAGCAGGTGTGTTTGATTAGAGTTGGAGCTAAACTGTGCAGGACTGAGTTTGTCATGTTGAAATACCCAAATGAAAGAAATCAAGCATCTACAAATCGAAGCATGAAGAATTATGAACACAGATCTGCTGCTTGTGAATGTAATATGCTTTAAATGTTAGGGATGCTTATTAGGGTTCAGGTCTGGGTTGAGTTTTTGAGGCTCTATGACAGGGGTCAACAAACTTGTTCCTAGAGGTCAGGTGTCCTGCAGATTTTAGCTCCAACTCTAATCAAACACACCTGAACAAGCTAATCAAGGTCTTACCAGGTATACTTGAAACATCCAGGCAGGTGTGTGGAGGCAAGTTGGAGCTTAACCCTGCACGGACACCGGCCCTCCAGGACAGAGAGTAGTGATCCCTGCTCTAGGAAGTGAAAAGCAATTTGTGTTTCAATAATGACAGAAATCCAGCATCTACAAATCAAAGTATGAAGAATTATGCACACAGATCTGCTGCTTGTAAATTTAATACCCTTAAATTATAAGAGATGCTTAATAGGGTTTGGGTCAGGGTTCGGTTTTGTGTCTCCAGGAAGTAGTCAGCAAGTTGTTTCGAAATTAAAGTTATCAAGCATCTACCAAAAGAAGTATGAAGAATTATGAACACAGATCTTGTGTGAATGTAATACCCTTAACTTGTAAGAGATGCTTATTAGGGTTCAAGTTGGGGTTCGGTTTTGTGGCTCCAGAAAGTCTTAAGCAAGAGGTTTTGAAATTAAAGTCATCAAGCATCTACAAAACAAAGTATGAAGGATTATGAACACAGATCTGCTGCATGTGAATGTAATACCCTTAAATTGTGTAAGATGCTTATAAAGGTTCAGGTCGGGGTTTGTTTTTGCAGCTTCAGGAAGTCGTAAGCAATTTGTTTCAAAATGAAAGTCATCAAGCATCTACAAATAGAAGTATGAAGCATTATGAACACAGATCTGCTGCATGTGAATGTATTATCCTTAAATTGTAAGACATGCTTATTAGGGTTCAGGTCAGGGTTCGGTTTTGCAGCTCCAGGGAGTCGTAGGCAAGAAGTTTAGAAATGAAAGTTATCAAGCATCTACAAAAGAAACTATGAAGAATTATGAACACAGATCTGCTGCATGTGAATGTAATACTCTTAAAGGGCACCTATAGTGAAAAATCTATTTTTCAAGCTGTTTGGATAGACGTGTGTGTAGGTATAGTGTATAGACCGTCATATTGGGGTGATATAAACACACACAGTCCTTTTTTTTTTTCAATTTATCAACATAAAAACGGTGGACCAATTGTAGCGGTTTTCAGACCGACCGCAACTTGAAGTAGGAGAGCGGTCCCCCCGCCCACCAATATTGATTGACAGCCTCATGTCACGATCATATGCTCAGTTACTTGTTGCACGTCTGCCATTTTCAGCGTGTGAGTCAAAGCGGTATCATTAAAGGAACACCCTTGCTCGATTTTTTTGATAAAAAGCTCATTGGGCTCAACACAAGATCAATATTCTCCACATTATCACTCTAATCGGATTTATTGCTTGTACCTTTTGCGTGGAGCAGTGCATGCATTTCGGAGTTCTGGGCGTGGGTTTTTGTCGCGGTGCACGCGCCGAAGCTTAGGGTCAGTGGCTCGGCGCGGTGCCGTTGTGTTTGCCCTGGTGTAGGCTTGTAATTGGAGTTCTGGAATGCGTGGCGCGACGATTCGAGACACTTCATGTTTCAAAGACACAAATGATTTTGTACTTTCTGCTTGGTCTGCGTCTGACTCGTACATGTATGGCTGAATCCTCATCGTAGCTCAGCTTAGCTTAGCTCTCTCTCTGTCTGTCTGCTGCAAACACAAAGCGTGGGAGCTCTTGGCTCCGCCCTTCTTGTTACATTGGGCGGGAAGCCGAAACTGTAAAGCAACACGCCCCTAAAACAGCAAACTGTGTAAACGCCCCCAACATGACACTTTGTAACACATTATAATAAAAACACCTGAACTGTGTGTTGAACTGAACCTAAACTGGCACACTCAGAACAACCATAATATTAATATTAAATCATAAAAAAGGGGTAAACTATGTGCCCTTTAAATTGTAAGAGATGCTTATTAGGGTTCAGGTCGGGGTTCGGTTTTGTGGCTCCAGGAAGTTGTAAGCAATTTGATTCCTCCCATGACTGAATAAATCCCTCTGCAGAAGAACAAATCGCCTCTATTAGAAGAAGGAAAGACAAACATATTAACACTCAAACCTTTTGACCAATAGATGTTTATAATTCAATGCGATGACCACTTTAACCCTGTTTCATTGGTCACCCTGGCTACATTAACTCTCTCTCTCTAGTACAGATTCATAGCGAAAGCCAGTAGATCACGTTAAACATGCAGATCTAATAAATATTAAGGCATAACCAAATCGTCCCTGCGTCATGTCAAAAGGTGAAAGCGGCATTCCAGTCCACTTTAAGACACGCACTCGCAAACTTCCCAGTAGTTTCTAAGTGCTCAATGGGGATTACCTTTAACCCCATTCAAATGTTCCACCAGTAGTAACTTAATCAATGATGTACATTCAAGTGCGCAACATGGAGGGAAGTTATTGAGTGAAGTGTATAGAAATAAACTGGATTGCAGCCCAAGTCACAGGAAGGCTTTGGGATTAAAAACAAACATGAATACAGAAGATATTTTTTGGTTTTCATTCACATTAAACTAGAAAATATGCGAGTCAAAGATTAAAACACGGTGAAGTGAAAACCTATCCCAAATCATGATACATTACATCATTTAAACATGCCATTTTAAACAGCATCTCATTCAGATTATGATTAAGAACGGCTACAGATGAGGTTTTATTTATAAAACTCAAAATTATAGTCACGTTAAGCATTAATGAGCCGTATTAAAAATAATAATAATATGAGGATATAGATTTAAATAAAAAGCGAGAGATTAAAATGAGAGCGGTAGAGAACGATTCATAAGCATGTGAAATGTAGTACAGGTACAAAGGACGTTTTGAGTGTTAAGAGTTCACTGCACCAATCAGATATTGCCAGTCTTTTGCCCCTCCCCTCCTGTAATCCAACAGACATCTGGTCAAAGGCGGCGCTACCATTGAGGGGAATCTATCTGCAACCTTCAACAGCACATATTGCATCTAATAACAGCTAACGTGGCGCATTATTGGAGAATGGAGAGTGTGCAAAAAACTGCAAAGGTCCCTTTGACTGGCTCTAATAGAGCAGACCATTCCCCCTCAGAGGAAGCTCTCGTTCATTAGAAAGGAAAATGGTGCTTTCAGTCTCAGTTTGTGGCTTGGGATGGAGGTGTGAGTGTTAAACCAGTGAGCAGTATCCGCCGCAGGCTCCTTGACGCTGGGGTTCATTATCAGACAGCTGGACACCATGGTTCTGGATGCTGCTTTCCCAGAGCCCCGGCGTCTGCAGGATCTTCTCCACCAGCTCCTCAAAGGCACACTGAACTCCGTCCCGCGTCTTCGCGCTGGCCTCTATAATATAAATAATAATAATAGTTCAAGACAGGACAGGAATGATAGAGATCAATACTAATGTGACTCATCAGTGAAAGTAATATGTGATGCAGGACAAGTTTAAGAGTGCAAAGGTGAAATGACGACAACATCTGATTGTGAAAAAAGCAGGACATCAGCAGTCACAAGCTGCACTAGTTCTTCAAATGCACATTTTGTTTTTAAATGTTTTTATTGGGGTATTCATGTAGCATTACAGCAAACAATACAGCAGTTAGTTTTTTTTTGTGCAAAAAAAAAAAAAAATTCAACAAATTAAATAATATACATAAAACAAAAAATGAAAAAAGTAAATAAATTAAATTTTAAAAAAGGGATAAATAATTAGGATAGACCCAGAATACACTTTTCGAATAACACAGAACACCTAACCCCTAAAACCCACCCCACCCCTGGGACTAAAGCTTATGCAGTTCTGTTGGTGTGACCTTCACCATCTGGGTATTCAACCTACGCTTTCAAGACAGAGAAGAGGAGACCAAATCTTGTCAATTTTTTTCAATGTCTTTACCATTCCTCCTATGACCAAACGTCTTATTTATGAAATAAGTCTGCTCCCTTGCAGGTTTGAACTACCAGAACTATTGCTATGACAACAACTCTTAGATTAGAACTAGAATTAGAATTAGAGTTTTGAAGAACGAAACTATCCTGGGTTGTGTCAATTCATCAATAACTGAATCCAGCTAACTGAGTAATCCACATACAAAAAAACAGACCCCTCGGCTCAGAAAGTTCTCAAAATAATATTTTATCCTACATTTTTTAAAGAAATATGAAGGTGTAGGTTATATATGTGGCTGCTAAATGCAGAGCTTCTCGATAAAAAGGTGAAAAAACACCTGCAAGTCCTGAAAGCGGTTAAACCCCAGCCAGATAATGAAAGTAATATATAACGTTTTACTTTCCATAAAAAGAAACAAAGTTATGCAATTAGTTACTTTTTGGGGGAGTAACTCAATATTGTAATGCACTACTTTCAAAAGTAACTTTCCCCAACACTCATCCTGACTAATGCTTATCCACATTTAGTAATGGCAAACAAGGGGAAGGTGGTGCTAAAGGAGAAAATTGGCTTATGGCCCGTTTCCACTGAGTAGTACTGTACGGTACGGTTCAGTTTGGTACGCTTTTATGGCCGTTTCAATTGTCAAAAGGTGTACCGACCTAAACCATACCACTTTTTTTGGCATTCTTTCGAAAGGGTACCAAAAGGCAGAGCTAGATGTGCAGCTGAACCCTATTGGTTTACAGAGAAACGTCATTCGCTTACGCAACAATGAAAACAAAAGAGCCGCCATGTTTAAAATACACAGCCGAAATTACAGCGTAAATGCACATAATAATGAGCCATGGTCGACCCGGGCTCAAACAAACAGTCGTCGTCTTTATGAACAGCCACAAAGCCAAAAAGAAGAGCAGATTTAGCCTGTGCCCCTTAGTTTTTTACGAGCCAGTCTAAAGCGCGAGCGGTTTCGCTTTCTTGCTTGCGCGCGTCGCACGTCTATATCTGAAATAACAAACTTCTTGAGCTGATGATAATAACGTGCGCGTGATAATTGACGTGCTTTTGAAACCCAATCCTGTTGGAAACTGACAAACATGGGAGTGACACATTCAGAAAGAAAAGGACAAATGCGAGAGCGAAGCGCGCACAAAGGAGAAGCCCGACAAAACTCAGGAGCAAGTTGTTTCAGCAACCTGAATCACGAACAAACTGCCATGCTTATCATCGCCTTCTGGACTATTATGAACTGGGAATGACAGAATTACTCTCTAACAGAGTTTACATGTGCTGGTGAAGATTACAGACACAGATGAGAGGTTTGCACTAACTGTGGGCTTTGTTGCGTGATGTTTATGTACCTAAATTAGGACTAAATGTTTGCTGTGTGTAGTTATTCTGTAGTTGGTAACATAGGTATTAGGTATCATCATAGGTCTATTAGGTATCATCAATGTATTATAACACAAAAACATTATTTATTGAGCTTTGATAGTATGAAATATTTGGTTGATGCTTGTATGATTTTAAAAATTTTAAATGGATATGCTCCACCTCCATTATGTGAGTTTGTGACACACAAGAATAATAATGGTCAAGCAACACGATGTGTTACCAGGGGAGACTGTGCTGTGCAGTTTAGACGTACAACTTTTGCACGATCAGTCTTCTTAGTTAGAGCTAGTCATTATTGGAACACACTTCCGATTGACTTAAGGGGTGTTACAAATTATTCTACTTTTAAATACAAGTTAAAGAAATGGCTAAAAGCAAATCAAGTTTGTAATCATGTGTAATTCTTTTGTCTAACATTTTAGGAAACTCTTATTTACATATTTTTATCTCTTTTTGTCATATGTAACTTTACTGTTTTTGTATGTGTAATGACGTTTTTTTTTTTTTTAGGTTGCCTTTTAAAATCTGGCAGGGGGCAACAGATGAAAATTAGCCCTTGTGGCTAACTCTGGCTTATTTACAGTTTTACTGTTGATTAATGAGCCTTGTCCCTGTTAAATAAAATAAATTCAAATTCAAATATTGCAGACCGTAAGGGGCTGTATGTGTTTATATATGTTGCATTTATTTATTTATTTTATATAATTGCAGACGTTACAGTAGGCTATTTCGTTGATCTGCAGTTATAATCAACTCCTGTTCATAGAAAAGTTAGTCATGAACATTTATACACAAGTATTTACGTGTGTAAAGCATCTGTTTTGTGAGAAGTGCTGCTCATTACGATATGTGAACGACGTGTGCAACTTTACTGTATACATTTATTCGAGCGAGCATGACGTCGACTTTCTGTCATACACCACGCCCACCAAAAGGGTACCCTTGGTAGTGGAAACGCAAGCCTGATAAAAGTGACCCATACCGACCCAAACCGTACAATACTGTACCACTCAGTGGAAACGAGCCATTAAAATCCCAAAAAACCATTCCAACAACAAAAAACAGAAACATACCGATAAAGAGCATAGAGTGTTTCCGTGCAAACTTCAAGCCTTCGTTCCGGTCCACTTCACGGTTGTCCTGAAACAGAAAGGTCTTTATAATTGTACTGCTGAGTCACCATACGATAAAGCAACTAAAAGTTACTGGAGCCTCCCAATATCAGCACTCATGACTTCGACAGTTTAACGTTCCATGACTTGATTTACTGACTCATATTTTCAATAAACCACAGTGAATCTCAAAAATATAATCAAATATAAGTTTTGTTTTTCCCTCCATGGAGACATCTTTATGTACTGTTGTACTTGTGTACTGTAATCATGAACGGAAAGTAAGAACTGTATATATTTGTAGGAGAAAAATCTGTAATACTTTACAATGAGGTTCCATTTGTTCACATTAATTAAAAAAGGGAGGTTACCCAAAAATGAAAGATTTTTCCTTCATAAATTTAATTATTTTCCTTTGGATTAATCTCAATTCCAGAGGTCACCACAGCGGAATGTATCGCCAACTATTCCAGCATATGTTTTACGCAGCGGATGCCTTTTCAGCTACCCAGTACTGGGAAACACCCATATACACTAATTTACACAAACACTCATACACTAGACAATTTAGTTTATTCAATTGACCTGTTGTGCATGTGTATGGACTGTGGGGGAAACCGGAGCACCCGGAGGAAACCCACACCAACACAGGGAAAACATGCAAACTCCACACAGAAATGCCAACTGGCCTAGCTGGGACTCGAAACGGTGACTTTCTTGCTGTGAGGCGACAGTGCTAACCAATGAGCCATCGTGCCACCCATTCAAACACTTTAACTACATTAGTTCACAAAATCATATATAGGTGAGCATTTATTAAGCAAATAATTAATTAGTTTGTGCTCATTTTTACTTTTGCTAATTCATTATAAATATAAGAAGTGTTATCTGTTGACTCAAAAATAAATAATTTACTCTCCATTTACTTGTTTCAAACTTTTATGAGCTTCTTCTGTTGAACACAAAGGAAGATATTTAGTTGAAGGAGGCCCGTTCCGCATGAGAGCTTTAGGTATATACTGCACACTTACAGTTGAAGTCAGAATTATTCACGTTCCTGTAAATTTTATTTTCTTTTTCAAATATTTCCCAAATGATGTTTAACAGAGCAAGGAATTTTTCACAGTATTTCCTATAATATTTTTTCTTTTGGAGAAAGTCGTATTTGTTTTATTTCGGCTAGATTAAAAGCATTTATTTATTTTTTTAACGTCAGTATTATTAACATTTTTTTTTTCTACAGAACAAACCACTGTTATACAATGACTTGCCGAATTATCTAATTTTACTAGTTAAGCCTTTAAATGTCACTTTGAGCTGAATTTTACACTATCTGACTAAAGTCCTGTCGTTGATACCAGTTGTAAGAGTAACAAATAACTTGACTTTTAGCTGATCATTTGGAAAAGTGGCAGAAAGTAGATTTTACTGGTGAATCATCTGTTAAGCTGCATCCCAATCACCACAAATACTGCAGAAGACCTACTAGAAGCCGGATGGACCCAAGATTCTCATAGAAATCAGTCAAGTTTGGTGAAGGAATAATCATGGTTAAGGGTTATATTCAGTATGGGGGCATGCGAGAGATCTGCAGAGTGGATGGCAACATCAACAGCCTGAGGTATCAAGACATTTGTGCTGCCCATTACATTACAAACCACAGGAGAGGGCAAATTCTCCAGCAGGATAGCGCTCCTTCTCATACTTCAGCCTCCACATCAAAACTCCTAAAAGCATATAAGGTTAAGGTGCTCCAGGATTGGCCAGCCCAGTCACCACATATGAACATTGAGCATGTCTGGGGTAAGATGAAGGAGGAGGCATTGAAGATAATTCCAAAGAATCTTGATGAACTCTGGGAGTCCTGCAGGAACGCTTTCTTTGCCATTCCAGATGACTTTATTAATCAGTGATTTGAGTCATTGCAGAGATGTATGGATGCAGTCCTCCAAGCTCATGATGGAGTCAGACAGAATATTCATTCTGTTTTCACTGCAGCAGGACTTTATACTCTATACTGGACATTATTTCTGTTATGTGACAAGACTTTTGTCTAAGTAAAGTCAGACCTTACTGTCCTAATTAAATATTTATAAATCAAGGCATGATCATATTTTATTGTGGTAAAATAAGTGTAATCTAGAGGCCTTTGCCTTTCACATACCACTTCTGATTACAAATGATCCACTAGAAGTCAAGTTATTATTTGCGGCTCCTAAAACTTGGATTGGCGACAAGACTTTAGTCAGGTAGCGTAGTATCTTGAAAAATATCTAGTAAATGATTATGTACTGTCATCATGGCAAACATAACCGAAATTAGTTTTTAGAAATTAGTTATTAAAACTATTATGTTCAGAAATGTGTTGGAAAAAAAAAAAAAACTTCTTCACATTAAACCGAAATGAAGGGAAAAATATACAGAAGTGATAATAATTCAAGAGGGCTAATAATTCTGACTCGCTTCCACTCTTGGCAACTTAACATCTTTATTAAACTTGCCTTAAAATTCCACACTAACCACCAGTCCGAATGGCACTCAAAACCCCCCCATTAAATATTCATCATTTGTGTTAATGAATAACGCAATGTTTTAAGCATAAAACGCTCTCCAACATCCCATAAAGAGCTTATCTTTGAAAGTTTTGCACCATGGAGATTTTAGCGTGGCAATTTCATTTTTCATGGTCTACCAAAAGTCGGGGTGTCAAACTCAGTTCCTGGAAAGCCCCATCCATGAAGAGTTCACTTCCAAACTTTATCCATCACACATAAATGCACTTTAAAAATACGCCTGAGAGGCATCATTGGTTTGTAGTGAGTATGTGTGTAATTGGCGTTAAAGCCATACTGTGCACTGCTGAGGCGGTTCAGGAAGTGAGTTTGACACTCTTGACTTAAAAGAACAGTAAGTGTACCAAACACTGAAATTCTAAATTGTTTTTGTCTATACAACGAAAGTTAAGGTATCCAGACAACAGTATACCCTAGTGACTTCCACTGGCCGATCAATAGAAAATAACAAAAACATGAAAATAAGTATGCTCAGAGATCACATTTTAGGTTCAGGACTTAAAAGTGAGAGTTAAATCAAAATATACTACGTTTATTTTGCTCGTGCACGTTGTTATTCTTTAGATTAACAATTAATTTGTGCAAATCCATTGAAAAATGGATGTTTTAGTAATCTTTACTTAAAATCTGAGTATTTGCCACGCCCCTTACCATCAGTTTGCTATGAGTAAATGATGCACAAAAAGAAAGCCCCGCCCCCTACTTAATATTCCATTTCAGTTTGAAAAACATCAACATACTGAAATAAAAGCCAAGGAACTTATGTTCATGTGGACTTTAGGGTGCATTTCCCGCTGAAACAGAAACCTGAATTGAGGGAAGGGATTTGCTTTGGAGCGCCTTCTCAGTATCTTAAACTAACAGGTGGAAAGGAGTGGGTCATAAACTCGTGTCATTAGCATACCTGCCAACATTTCACTTTAAAAGTCTTTGGAGACCGGGAAGGTCAGTGGGTTGTTTGTTTGTTGTTTTAACAACTGTAGTGGACCGGGTTATAGGCAGCAGCGGCGTTCCGGTTGACAACAGAGGGAGGAGTTAGGTGGAGATCGGGATGTTGAAGAATATACTAGGGATGTGATGTCATCCACCAAGCCTTCGAAGCATGCATCAAAAAATTATACATCTCATTGTGAAGCAGTGTACCAAGGCTTGGTTTGTTTTGCCATCATTAATTTTCAGTCAAACAGTTTCTCAGCAGTTTGTGATGCATTTTGGAAACAGGAGATGAGCCCCTGGTCTAATGCGCCACCTGGTTTGAGAAACCCGTTCTTAAAGACATACTTTTAGTCATTATTTGGGTAGCACACATATTCTGAATGCCTTAGAAACAGTGCAATTTATTATGCCTGAACGCTTTTAAAATCATATAGTCACAGGCCTCAAAAAACAAAACGATAAATTAGGTTTAGGGCAGGCATGTCCAAACTTGGTCCCGGAGGGCCGGTGTCCTGCATATTTTAGTTCCGATCCAAATTAAACACACCTGAATCAGCTAATCAAACTCTTTCAAGGTATACTAGAAATTTCCAGGGAAGTGTGTTGAACGAAGTTGGAGCCAAACTATGCAGGACACCGGCCCTCGAGGACCGAGTTTGGATATTCCTGGTTTAGGGCAGTGGTTCTCAAAGTGGGGGTCGGGACCCCCTGGGGGGTCGCGGGACAATGAGAGGGGGTCGCTTGGTGATTTACAAAAATCTAATAAATTTGAATAAACTTTTATGATTACCATTGCTAATCCATAACCAACAGAAGATAAAAAATAGCTACATAAAAAAAAAATACAATATCCAAACAAAAAGCCATCAGCCTTTGGTTTTTGTTGTTGTTTTTTACATTGATTGCAACCCTTAGGGTTTTTACATTAGATTAATGACAAAGCAACAGCGTCACCAGATTTTACAGCACTAGCTAAACTTTCTGACACCGTTACAGCACTCACGTACATTTAAAATACATACAGGACACTAAACATGGAGTATGATGTGTAAGTGGCAGTCTCCAAAATTAAACCAAGAAAAGACTTGGGATGTAACTTAAATATTGTGCCCACCAGTCTAAATAGATGAGGTTAATATAAAATAATCATAATAAAAACGATAGGGGACTGTTGCACTTTTTTATGTTGTCAATATGCTTGTGTTTATATAGGCTGATTGGTTTGTGTGAGTGTTGTGTGCAACGTTTGTATGATTATTACCACTTACGAAAATAGTGGGGGTCGCGAGTCATTGGCATTGTTCTTTTGGGGGTCCCAGGCTGAAAAGTTTGAGAACCCCTGGTTTAGGGTACCATTGCATGTCCTCACGATGTGACTATTCCAAATGATCACATTGCGATATCGATGCTGAAATGATCCATATTGTGCAGCCCTAGTCCAGAAAGCATCTGAACGCCACATGTAAGGTTTCAATTGCGCAAATATTAAATGAAACAAACCTTGTCGATTTTGTTCCCCACCAGCATTTTAACCAGGTCGTTGCGTGTACAGTATGTCTCCAGCTCATTGAGCCAGTTCTCAAGCTTTGTGAACGTGTCCCGCTTTGTAACATCATACACTAAAAGAAAACAAACAAACAGTAAGTGCATTTCAGCAACTAGTTTAGATTTGAGGGTTAAAACTTCATGATTGAGACCACCTGACTGTCCAATATTCTGCTCATTACACGGCCTACTTATCAAATAAAGACAAGGAACATATTGATTTAAGCAAAAAGAGATTTTATTATGCGAGAAGGACGAGAAGTGAGATTGATCTGAAGGACATAAAACTAAAACGGCTACGCCTAAAATCAGTTGTCTGGCTCAGTTACACAATTAATCGATCGTTGTGCATTTTACAAAACTCTGTAGATAAAAAACCTTCTTCTGTAATAAATGATAAATTCAATAACACGTAAAAACTAACCCAAAATGACACCCTGGGCCCCTCTGTAGTAGCTTGGTGTTAGAGTTCTGAACCTCTCCTGACCTGCGGTATCCTTAAAAAAAAAGTTCAATAGGATTTCAGGAGCTTTCAAGAGAAACAAAGCGTGACAGTGACATCTAGTGGAACAAGACAGCAAATGTCAAATAAAACAGAAATATCTCATGAATTCAAGCACGTTGCAAAATGCAGCACTTACCCATATAGCCAGTTTTGCTCGGTTGCCATCGATCGCAATAGTTTTGACTTTGAAGTCCACACCTAAAAACACCAACAAAAGTGTCAATTCTAAAGCAGGATTCCTCAACCATGTTCCAGGAGGACTATTGTGTCGCCAGATTTCCAATTATTTAAGATGTTTTCTTACAGGGACATCCATTAAAAAGATTACTCGTGAGTTACTGACGAGCATTAAATGTTAATTTTTACTCTTGAAAAAATTAATAAATAAATAAGGGAGAATCTTATGCTAACTATAACAAGTTTAAATGAATTTCTGATATGCTGCAACTACTCCTTTAAATACGAGATCAATGTAGCGGATTTTGACGCATTGCCGCCAGTGCAACCTTTGGTGATTTCGGCCTGAACGCAGTTATACGGTCGACATCTTTTGCTATTTCTTAGAAAATAGACATTAGTCATTTTCACTAAATTAGCTTTATCAAAATGAATAGACTTGGGTAAAACTACACTGTAAAAATTGCTGGGTTCTACACAATTCCTTCATGTTGTCCCAACACAAATAGATTAAGTTAACTTAATATTTTTTTTACATATTTAGGTGAATTAAACATAAAACAATTAAGTTGACCACCAAAACCCGTCAAGAACTGAGTTGATTCAGCCCATTTTAAATAAGTATTTAAATATACACCATTTTGAGGGACGTAAACAATAACAATGGCTTAACATATTTCCTGTTTTCATTTCCATAGCTTCCGAGAGTCCAAAATGACCCACATATTCATGGGCCAGTGACATCACAACATTGAAATGGTCTATGAGCTTATTAGTTTTGAGTATTAACTGCTTTTGGAGACCCGTTTACAATGTCTGATTATTATCAGTAGAATATTCACAACCACTCGTGGGTGACTCACCGATGGTTGCTGCTAATTCTGGGTCGAAGGTATCATCTGTGAAACGCAGGAGCAAACTGTGAACATAACAGGACAAATGAAGGAAAATTAGCATAGGCACAAAACATTTAGCATTTCTTGTTTCCCATAGCTCTTATACAGTTAAATGTAACTGTGTACACATGACAACCATAACATTGAAAATTGAGGTAAGGTTGGTTTTATATTTACAAATTCATTCAGTAACAACTTGTGGCATGCTCCCAATATTGTTCACCATGGTACTTTGAATATTCACATGACTTTCACAGTATGACTTTATGGGTAATTGGAAAATATAATATGGAAGTCAATAGTGACAGATTCTTAACATTTCTCAAAAATATTGTGTTTAAGTTCGTTTAAACTGTATTATTAACAGGGTAAATAGGGTTGAAACATGTAAATAGTTAATAATTAATGACAAAAATTTTCCTTTTTTTGGTCAACTATGCATTTAAATGTCACTGCTAGTTTTGCTAGAAAACACTTTGTCATCATAAGAAGGCATGTTTAATGTGTTTTATATCTTAATCATTGGACCCCTCTATAACCTCAATCTAAGAATAAAGTAAAGTTGGTTTTATGCTCACACATTCATTCAGTTATAACTTGTGACATGTTCCCTATATTGTTTACAATGGCACTTTCAATATTCAATCTGAAATAACATGTAAGGATGACTTCAAACAACATTAGAACTATTTAATTGACTGTGAATAATGTTGTATATTGATAGTCATTGGCTGCTAATATGATTTACCAATTTTGAAATTGCAAAGAGTACTTTTTTGAAAATTTAATATTAAGGAGAAATTCAGAATATGCAAATACAAAACTAACTTTATTGCAATATGATAAAAGGGCAATTTACTTTACTAACTGGATGAGGAAAAGACTTTAAACCATTAATAAAGGCATAGTTCATCACAAAAATGATCATTTACTCACTATTTACGCTCAAGTGTTTCCAAACCTTTATGAGTTTCTTTAGTCTGTTGAACACAAAAGAAGGTATTTTGAAGAAACCTCACCATTGACTTCCATATTATTTTTTCCTACTATAGAAGTCAATGGTGATAGATTCCCAACATTTCTCAAAAATATGTGTTTGTTTGTTTAAACTGTATTATTAACACTCATAAAAGGTTTGAAACATGTAAATAGTTAATAAATAATGCCAAATTTTCCTTTTTGGGTCAACTATGCCTTAAAATGTCACTGCTAGTTTTGCTACAAATCACTTTGTCATCATAAGTAGGCATGTTTAATGTGTTTTGTTCATATTTTAAGCATCTGACCCCTCTATGACCTCAATCTAATACAGTCTAGTTGGTTTAATGTTCGCTCATTTGTTCAGTTATAACTTGTGACATGCTCCCTATATTGTTTGCAATGTCATTTTAAATATTCTATCTGAAACCACATGTAAGGATGACTTTAAACAACATTAGAACAATGTTGTACTGTGATAGTCATTGGCTGCTAATATGATTACCTTATGTAGAATTAGCTAATATAATAAAGAATACATGAATATGAATAGTTAAATTATTAAGAAAAAAATGAGAATGTGTGAATATAAACCAACTTTAGCTCAATCAATCTAAGGCCTGTATTTCTAGAGGTAAATGGCACAAAACGAGCACATAGCATGACTGCTACAGGAACAGCTGCCAGCTAACACTGCTGCTCTGACAATATTAATTATTTAAAACGATGCGACAACAGTAACAGTATACAAAGTATTCATTGCCAGGACATTTTGAGTAGTTAATACTATAAATATGTCCATAATTCACTATTATATAAAAGCTAACATTAGCAGAGCTTAGAGAATGCACTCAAAAACACCTCATGAGGTTCAAAGTACCACAAGTGATATATTGTTTGCATTTTCTTCCATTATTTAATCAAAGATAATAATTGAAAGTGAAGTTTAATGGCTGAATTGAATAGGCAAAGTCAGGACACAGGCGACAGTCAGCATTACGTTACTTTAGCAGAGCTCGTTGATCAGGCGATGCTAACGCTATTTAACAACTCGTGCTAGTGCACAAACAAGATTAAGTAAACCAGAAATCACCAGACTTCACCTCGATTTACCGACTCCGCTCTCTCCGATTATTAAAATCTTCAGGGTCGTCAACACGTCGTCGTCCATGTTAAGGCTGTTTACACTATAGCTGGTTAAACTCGCGTTCGCTGTTGCTGTTGCTGCGCTGGAACTTCCGACTGGAGCGTGACGTCATGAGTATTAAGTTAGATGTTGCGTAAGAAGTCCTGCTGAAATCATGATTTGACGGAGGCAACTTTTGTGGTGTCATAAAAAAGGGTTGATATAAGTGATTTGAGGTGGAATGATTTCATGAATTTGACCATATAAATTACCAAAACCTAATCCTTTAAATATATATATATATATATATATATATATATATATATATATATATATATATATATATATATATATATATATATAAAGGATTAGGTTTTGGTAATTTATAAATTTATATATATATATATATATATATATATATATATATATATATATATATATATATATATATATATATATATATATATATATATATATATATATATTTTATATATATATATATTTATACATCTATGCCACAAGAACGAGAGGTATTACATTTTACATTGTTTCTGAGATAGAGAGAGGAAAAAAAAAATTATATATATATATATATATATATATAAAGTAAGTATACACATACATGTACATGTGTATGTATGTATGTATGTATGTATGTATGTATGTATGTATGTATGTATATATATATATATATATATATATATATATATATATATATATATATATATATATATATATATATATATATATATATATATATATAAAGTAAAATTACATTTTACATGACATTAAATGTTTTCAGAGCATTACATGTTTTCAGTGCATTTTTGTTTTGTGATTGTTCTAAAAGATTTACATAAACTTTAAAGTCATTCACAAAATGGGTAAAGTTTGGTTTACATTGAGCCTACTTTTTTGTGTATATGATATTTTCCTAACACCATAAACAAATTAAAATTAAAAATATGTTGTCCTTTACAGTTCAAGTTCTCATTATCAGAATAAAACAGTAGATCAAATAAACCCATTTCTTTCTTATACTCAATTTTTTTGTTAATAAACAATTCCAGAACTTTCCAAAATATTCTTGAGTAAATACAAAGAAAAAAAAAGATGCAAAATTGTTTCTTTTTCTTGACCAAAAAATTCACACATATATAAAATATTAAGTTTAAATCTTTCCAAAACATGTTTAGCAGGATTAATTCTAGGGACTATTTTGTAGGACACTTCTTTAATTTTGTTATTTAAGCAAAACTTATACCAAAACCTAATCCTATTTCAAATATAGACATGTGATGACGAAGGATAGTAGCCTGTGCTTCTTACAAAATGAGTATAAGTAAATATTATTTATAGACTCGTCTTTTAAAACATTTTATTAGTACTCAGTTTTTTATTAATAGTTCTTATTGTCAGTGTTTTAATGTTTAATTTTTTACATCAATGATGCTAACTAGGCTAGATTATTTTTACCCATTGAGTCTGTTTATTAACTGTTTATTTAAATGTGTGTAAATATAAGGTTTTTTTTATTCATTTCAGTAATTTTATTAACCAAATAAGTAAATGTTTGTATGATTTATAGTTTAAGTAATACTTTCTGTCTTTTAGTAGCCTCTATTTATGAGAGATTTATAACAAATTTAATCTTAAATTAAAATTACTTTAATTTTAAAGTCATATTTTTTTTTTATTTCAAGTTTTGAGTATGTAGTTACAATACTCCCGAAATTATTCTGCATAAATCTGCAAATTCTTTACAAAACACGGCCCAGAAATAGCAAAATGCCAGCATATTCTGTATGCCTCTAAAGATACACAAAGAATTAGCTCTTCAGTGGTTCTTTGTGGTAATGTTAGGTACTATTTAGCACCAGTAAGTGGTCCTTTAGCTAGTAATAAATATTATTGAGGAACATATAAGTGCTATAGCACCAGTATTGGTTCTTTCGTTGTTGTTTTGTGGTGAATTCATTTTACTTCGGCTTAGTCCTTTATTTATCAGGGATTCACACAGCGGAATGAACCAACAACTATTCCAGCATATGTTACGCATATGCCCTTCCAGCCACAACTAGCAAGATTGCTGAGTCCCAGCTGGGCCAGTTGGCATTTCTGTGTGGAGTTTGCATGTTCTCCCCGTGTTAGCAAGGGTTAGACATGCGCTATAGGTCAACTGAATTAACTAAATTGTCAATAGTGTACAGGTTTGCGTGTGAATGAATGTGTATGGGAGTTTCCCAGTACTGGGTTGCAGCTGGAAGGGCATCCACTGCATAAAGCCCATGCTGAAATAGTTGGTTCATTCTGCTGTGTAAATGAATTTACATACAAGTTTAAATTGGTCCATGTACAATTTGTTTTATTATTCTGCAGGTTGTTGTTGTTTTTTTAGTATTTTTAATATATAGCCTACATGCATCCCATTGATCCTCAACCAAGATAATAACTAGAACAAAGATACCTTTCAATGTTTTAGTAATCCCAAAATGCTCAGATTTAAAAGCTTTTTCTAAAGATCCTCCGATTTCACTAATTTGGTTTCTTTGAAGTTTTCCATTGTTACTCCTTCAGAGCCTCATTGTTTCACCGAGAACCAACAGCTCCACTTATGCAGGACGTACAGGATCACTGATTCAGAAAATTGTTAATTTTACTAGAAACTCAAGTCTTTTGATTATGGGGTTGAGTGGTAACTCTAGTGGAAACAGTTATCAAGATAGCAAAAGGCTGAAGAGACCCTTTGTGTCAGTGCTGTTATTTGTATTGTTAAGACCCCAAAATGTCTAGGGCTGAGGTTAAACATAAGTTAAAATAAATAAATAAATAAATAAATAAATTTGGATTTTTGCTGCATTTGTCTTACCAAGCCTTACATTTTTCCAAGAATGCTTCATTCTTATTTAATAACCTGTTGTGGTGTTTTCTCTAGTTGTTTTCTCCACCTTTCTTCTCTCCCCTCCTTGTTGTGACTGTAAAACCTATACTTTGTATTATAAAGCTGTAAACTGAGCGCCGTAGGGGCTGAGTGCCATTTATTTTGAACAGACTTTTTCTCCTGTTTCTTGGTTTAGTTAAGGAGTAAGGGTAGTATTTGTAATTTATTTTCTGCATTTATTTTGGTTCTATTAGGCAAGTTATCTTCAGGGAGGAGTTAGTAAATTTTTTGTTTATTATTTTGGCCTTGCTCAGCCCTGAACCGATTTTTGATTGCGGTCCTATTCTTTGTTTTTCTGTAAATGCAAACTTTTTCTAACAATAAAAGAAACTTAAGGTCATTAAAATCATAACCTGCTAACTGTTTATTTATGTATGTATTTATTTATTTAAACTCATGTTCAACATCAGCCCTAGACATTTTGGGGTCTTAACAATACAAATAACAGCACTGAAACAAAGGGTTTCTTAACCATTAACTTAAACTTTTAGCTAATACAATAACTAATTAGCTACTTTTTATAAGTTAGTAAGCTAGTAGTTGGGTTTAGAGATTGGGTAGGATTAGGGATGTAAAGTAAGATCATACTTTACAAGTGCTAATAAACAGTTAATACATAAATAACAGGCAGGTAATAATCCAGTAGTAAATGGTGTGAGTTGTTACCTAAAGAAGTGTAACCAGAAATTAACCTGAAGCGACACCAAAATCCTATCTTTCACCTATACGTAATTAATATGCAAGCTCCACCCTAAAAGGAGAGGTATATGCAAATAAACTCACAATACTTACTACCTGGAGAAACTAAATAACGAGCACACTGACTGAAGTGAATGGTCAGCTCTACAACATGACGTCCTGCACCACAGACTGCATTGAAAAGCCCATCCGGCGCTGTTTTGAAAGTCTCGGTAAATTCGTCGGTCTTCACCCGTGGTGGTTTGTCGTTTTACCTCTTGTGATGTCCGCAGGTCTCGGAGGAGGATTTTTCTTTCTGAACGAGCTGAAATCCGACGACATTGTGGAGCAGTTTACCCCGAAAAAAGGGCGCGCGAAAATGGAGAGGCGTTTCTTTCAGGAAACTTTCCCTCAGAGCGACTCTCAGTTTTCCGTTATTCGCATTAACACTGACGGGGTTTTTGCGTCCTTGATATTTTCCTCACAGTCAAACATACTCAGTGTTACAGCGCTCGACGAAATCATCCGTATTGACGTAAAAATTAAAAGATTCAGCGTAAGTTTGGACACAAATACATTTGCGTTCTCGGATATTTGCGCAGATGTGAACGGAACGTGTAACTCTAACGTAATTCTCGATGTTTTCGGTTACAACGCCAGTAATGTCAGTTTCGTCAACATGACGTATCCTAAATACTGCCGGTCTGAATTCAACTGTGTCCACTTGGGAAATGTCATAAGTGAAGTGGAAGTGGATCAGGATGGATTTGTCCAAAGTGCCAAAGCTGTGAGGCTTTTCTATTATCTGCAAGAAAACAATGACACACTGACAGATGCCTGGCTTCAGAAATTGATGGACGTGCTCTCTAATGTAACCACATCACAAACTGAAGTAAGTGTATGACAGCTAAACATTTGGACAGGTGTATATTTTTAGAAAGTGAGACTTGATTTGGTGTTAAGGTGAATAAATAAACTATCCATTGATGTGTTGGTTGTTGGGACACTATTTGACTGAGATAAAATCTGTAATTAGAGGGTTTTGATACATTTATTAACCGTAATTAGACTGATAATTCAACATCTTTGTCAACATTACAATGGTTCTTGTTTTTTCTCAGCAGTTATGTACACCAAAGTTTTACGTCACAACAAATATTGATAAAAAATGTAGCCTATTGCAGTTTTGTTTGTGTTTTTGTCTGTGTAACAAAGGTATATTGTGTAGATGTTGGTACTTTAAAACATAAGTGTATCAACATAAATTAAGGAAATACCATAGTTTAGCATTAATTGGAAATTTGATTTGACAATTTCCACTGCATTTTTTGTAAAAAATCTGACACCAGCTGTCTTTTTTACTGTAATAATTTTTACAGTGTATATTCAAATTATTTTAATATCTTTTTTTTTCACATTGACATTTTTTACTTAATTGAATTACACTCAGACAACTTTATTAGGTACACCTTACTAGTTGGACTAGTTGCCTTCAGAACTGTCTTAATCCTTCATGGCATAGATTCAACAGGGTTCTAGAAAAATTCCTTAAAGATTTTGCTCCATATTGACTTGATAGCATCACACAGTTGGCTGCAGATTTGTCGGCTGCACATGCATAATGCAAATCTTCCGTTCCACCACATCCTAAAGGTGCTCTATTTGATTGAGCTCTGGTGACTGCGGAGGCCATTTTTGCCATTGTCATATTCGAGAAACCAGTCTGAGATGATTCAGGCTTAATGGCATGGCATGTTATTCTGCTGAAAGTAAATATCCCCCACACCATAGCACCAACACCAGCTTGAATCGTTGAAACAAGGCAGGATGGATCCATGCTTTCATGTTGCTGATGCCAAATTCTGACCCGACCATCCGAATGTTGCAGCAGAAATACATACTGACCTCTGGCATCAACACGGCATTTGCGCCCACAGAACTGCCGCTCACTGGATATTTTCTCTTTTTCAGACCATTCTCAAATCCAAGTAGATCAGCAGTTTCTGAAAAACTCAGACCAGCCCGTCTGGCACCAACAACCATGCCACGTTCAAAGTCACTTAAATCAGTTTTCTTCCCCATTCTGATGCTCGGTTTGAACTGCAGAAGATCCTCTTGACCATGATGTCTACATGCCTAAATAGAAATTTGAGTTAGCGAGCAGTTGGACAGCTGTACCTAATAAAGTGGGCAGTAAGTGTAGATATGAACAACTTTTAATTCAGCACCAACCAAATTGTCAAATCTGGAATGATTAGATTTCATTAACTGCTAAATATTTGAGTGTGCAATCCTCACAAATAATTTTTGAATGGAATGAATACTAGTCAATGAAAGTCTTAATGATATGTTTTTGCAGGTATCTTATTTCACCTCCATGTCAAGACAGCAGGAGTTTGAGAAGAGCACCCGATCTGTCACTCAACTTTTCGCAGTTACTTATTTTCTTGCCATCTCATTTTCAATTATGTCTTGTCTGAGGTTTGTGTCATTCTTGTATTAATAAAAAAATGTATTTTAGAGCAAATTTTTAAGATTGTGGAAATTAATTGAAAAGCATCACGTTGGTTAAATTCTCTCCACAGGTTTGACAATGTGAGGAATAAGGCATGGCTTGCTTCTCTCGGAGTTTTTTCCACTGCACAGGCAGTGCTGTCCAGCTTCGGGTTGCTGTTACTCTTGAATGTGCCATTTGTTATTACAGCTGCATCTTCTCCATTCCTCATTCTTGGTAAGATTCTTCTTTTTTTATTTGTTTTGTTGACAAACTCAACCGTTGGGTTAGTTTAATTCAATTGAAATATTTTTGTTTAACACAAAAGTAGAATTTTTATATATTTGATCTAATGTTAGATGTGTATATTTGACACAATATTCGGTTAACACAACCCAGTCCTTTTTCAGAATGCGTTTTGTTGACAAAATCAACTGTTGGGTTAGTTTTTTCAATTCAATTGAAATATTTTTTGTTTAACCCAAAAGTTGGATTTATCCATATTTGACTCAATGTTAAATTTGTCCAAATTTGACCGAACAATTGGTTAATACAACCCAGTCTTTTTTTTTTTTTTTGTCTGACAAACCCAACTGTTGGGTGAGTTTTTTTCCTATTAAATTTTAATATTTTTGTGTTATACCCAACAGTTGAATTTGTCCATATTTGACCGAACAATTGGTTAATACAACCTAGCCGTTTTTTTTTTTTTTGTTGTTGTTGTTTTGTCAGACAAACCCACCTGTTGGGTGAGTTTTTTCCAATTAAATTTAAATATTTTTTGTGTTGTATCCAACAGCTGGATTGGGCCATATTTGACCCAATGTTAAATTTGTCCAAATTTGACCCAACAATTGGTTAATACAACCTATCCGTTTTTTTTGTTTGTTTTGTTTTGTCAGACAAACCCACATGTTGGGTGAGTTTTTTTCCAATTAAATTTAAATATTTTTTGCGTTGTACCCAACAGCTGGATTTGGTCATATTTGACCCAATATTAGATTTGTCCATATTTGACCCAACAATTGGTTAATACAACCTAGCCGTTTTTTTTTTTTGTTGTTTTTTTTTGTCAGACAAACCCACCTGTTGGGTGTGTTTTTTCCAATTAAATGTAAATATTTTTTTGCGTTGTACCCAACAGATGGATTTGGCCATATTTGACCCAATGTTAGATTTGTCCATAGTTGACAAATTGGTTAATACAACATAACCTTTTTTAGAATGTGTTTTTTCTGGCAAACCCAACTGTTGGGTTATTTTAATGACATTTTTATATTTTTTGTTTAACCTAACTGTTGGGTTTTTCCACATTTGATCCAATGTTAGATTTGACCCAACTTTTGGTTAATACTACCCAGCTTTTTAAAATTTGTTTTGTAGGACAAACTCAACTGCTGTGTTTGTTTTTTCCGTTAAATTTAAATATTTTTAGCTTAACCTAACAGTTGGATTTGTCCAGTTGGATTTTGGATTTGTTTGGTTTATACAACCCAGCCTTTTTATTTGTTTTGTCAGACAAATCCAACTATTTGTTTAGTTTATTCAATTTAATGTAAAAAATGTTTTGTTTGACCCAAAAAGTAGATTTGTCCATATTTGACCCAAAGTTTCTGTAGCACAACTCAGTTTCTTTTTAAGAATTTGTTTTTTCCGAAAACCCAACTCTACTCTACTGTGACCGCAGCTTAAGTGCTCACGCCCAAAAGTTACTATTACGGAGCCCAATCAACAACCACCACCCATCACCCCATCTCTTTTTTTAAAAACCAACATGTCCATTGGATCCAACACTGGGTTGGTACAACCCAGCGTTTTTAACTTTGCAAGTGTGGCATGTCATATTCCACACGTCTAACAGATCTTCATTCTTTTAGGAATCGGTATCGACGACATGTTCATCATGATCTCCAGCTGGCAGCGGACCAACATTCAAGACTCTGTGCCAAAGCGCATGTCCGACACCTACAGAGAAGCTGCCATTTCCATCACAATAACCACTCTGACCGACGTCCTGGCCTTCTACCTGAGCTTCAGCAACCCTTTCGGCTCCGTTCAGTCTTTCTGCCTCTACGCGGGCACAGCCGTCCTGCTCTGCTACTTCTATAACATCACTTTCTTCGGCGCCTGTTTGGCTCTGAATGGCAGAAGGGAGGGTGCTAACAAACACTGGTTGACTTGCATGAAGGTACCAGAGGAGATGCCACCTGGAGAGTCTAAAGCGTACACTCTCTGCTGTGTTGGAGGGTCATACAACCGTAACACAGGAACCGAAGAGGAACATCCAATGGCGTTGTTCTTTAGGAAGTGCTATGGCCCGTTTTTGACAACATCCTGGTGTAAAGCATTCGTAGTGTTGATCTACTTCACATACATCGGAGTTAGTGTTTACGGCTGCCTCCAACTGAAGGAGGGCATAGATCTCAAGAACCTAGCGCTTGATGATTCATACATCATCCAGTATTACGATGCAGAAAGCGCTTACTTTCATTATTACGGTCCGAATGTGATGCTGGCCATCAATGGGACGTTTCCATATTGGGAGGAGAGCGAACGCAATCAACTCGAGACTTGCATCAAACGATTTCTGGAGCTCGATTTTGTCAACTCGTCAACATCTTGGCTTCATGCTTTCGAAAGGTATGGTGTTGGTAGAAACATCAGCTCAGAAGCTTCATTTAAAACACATCTGCATGAGTTTCTCGAGCACAATCCAATGCTCAAACAGGATGTTAACATAACCGATAATAACATAACAGCATCTCGCCTGTTCCTCCAGACGATTGTTCAGAATGCAACAGAGAAGACTGTAGTGAACTCTTTAAGGAAGACAGCAGAGATATGTCCATACCAATTGCTGGTCTACCATCCTGCGTTCATCTACCATGATCAATACACAGTAATTGGGCAGGTCACTCTTCAGACGATCGCGGTATCAACCGCAGTCATGCTCTTCATCGCTCTTATGCTGATTCCTCATCCTCTTTGTGCTCTATGGGTGGCTTTTGCCATCGCTTCTGTCATTTTGGGAGTCACCGGCTTCATGGCTCTCCTAAACATACGCCTGGATTCCATCTCCATGATTAATCTGGTCATTAGCATCGGCTTCTCGGTGGACTTTTCAGCCCATATCTCCTACACGTTTGTGTCCAGCACTAAGTCTGATGTCAATGGGAGGATTGTGGAGGCACTGGCACACCTAGGTTACCCTATACTACAGGGGGCGCTGTCTACAGTTGTGGGGGTGGTGGTGCTTTCAGCTTCCAGCAGCTACATCTTCAGGACACTCTTCACCATTGTGCTTCTAGTCATTACTTTAGGGCTGCTTCATGGGATTGCTTTTATCCCAGTGTTTCTGACTTTCTGTGGATTTTGCCACAAGATATTGAAGCACTGAATTTGACTATCAAGCCTTTTTCTTCGACTATCGTCTCTGGTTTACAATTTTGATAATTAAAAGAAGACAAATGGGCCTTATTATACTGTAAAGATGCATCGACAGACTGAGGATCCATTTGCAGCTTTATTAAATCACAATAGGATGATCGTACAGGCAGGGTCAGGAAGGAGAAATTTAACTTAGAGTTCGTGAACAGGCGATTGATGGAGGTGGTATACAGCAGAGAGAGTGATCCATTACACAGAGCAGAAAGTCACAGAAGGCAGGCGGCATCAACAATCACAGAAACGGGGAAACTGTCCACGGTCAAAACACAGAATCAGGTCAGAATATAGGGAATAGGGGCAAAAACAAGACTTCGCAATGAGTAGCAGCGGAGATGGAGTGTAAATAGTCATTGGGAAAACTTTCAGGTGCCAGGGCAATCAGACGGGAGGAATGCTGGGAGATGTAGTGAAACTGAATTAGTAGTCCGGTGACTGTGACCTCTGGTGGCGATCGGGGGGGAACCACAGAGGTCGGAGGTGTTACACATACATCTGGCGCAAGATGTGTATGGTGCAATTTGTTGCTATTTTCAGACCAGCTCAATCTTAATTCTCACGTTTTCTGCCACGTTGTTTAAATAGCAAATCCATTAGCGCTGCTTTGCGGAATCATGGGTGTGCCGGTCTATAAAGGAGGTGTGTGTTAAGGCGCATTGTTGGCGTGTTGCTTTTTTGAGGAACTGAAGTAGACCGCACAATTGACAAACTAAAAGCTGCTCTAAAGTCCAGCCCAAAGCGCATTAGTTATGTGCCTATGCAGGTCCAAACAATTACACATTGCTTAATACACTCAGGATATACAGCAACACACAAATATAGTTACATATGAAAACAGATTAAAGGATTAAAAATGTTACAAAAACAACATGAAAAAAAAGTTAATTCATGCCAATTTTCATTTGAATAATGTAATTATTATTAGCAGTATTATTTACTATATGCACATTTTTATTTGTTTTAATAAAAACAAGTTTAGATTTGTCTACCTGTCGGGTTTGCATCATCATATGGGGCATAAGAATTGGATGTGTTTTTGTATATACATTGCTCAGCATATTTAAGCACACTCCTCACAAATCTATCTTTTAAATTCATATTCATAATAGGAAGCTATACAACATTATATTTATGCATATACATTAGATTAGTCAGTACTGAAACCAAATCTGGGGGCTATCTAACAAAAAAAACTTACAATAATCGTCCGAAAACTAGTACAGTCAAATTTATGGTATATTCTAGAAATATATAAATATAGAAAAATATTCTAAAAATAAAGAGGCGAAAATATTAAAACTAGTTGAAATTTTGTAAGTTGAATATTATTTTTGCAATATTTTGCTTAAATTTAATCATATTATCTTTCAATTTCTAATTATGTTTGATGAATAAAATATTAATAATATTATATATCTGTTGAAGAAATCTAATTCATTAATTTTCTTTTCGGCTTAGTCTCTTTATTAATCTGGGATCGCCACAACGGAATGATCCGCCAACTTATCCAGCATATGTTTTACGCAGCGGATGGCCTTCCAGCTGCAACCCATCTCTAGGAAAGTTTAATAAATCTTTTTTTGTTTAAATGCACCAAAATACATTGCCTATAATCACTGAGAAATGGATTTAATTTTTAAAATGGGCTGTACTCAATTATGCTAAGTACTCTAACTTCATTTTTATCGTTCATTTATTAGTTTGCAGGAAATTAGAATTGAATTTAGAAACCGTTCTGAAACAAATCTTTGCGCTTAAAGGAAATTAAATATGTGGGCTAATGGATGACTTCAGTTGATTGCATACAACACCGTTTCCTTATCCACGAAAGTAAAGGAGTAAAGAGTAAAAGTAAAGTAAATAGAAAGTAAAAAGGCTGAATGGAGAAGGCTCATTCTTTATCCTCGTGCTGCAGATGCTCTGTTTAACTGTTTTCTCGCTAGTGAATCGTTCAGTTTTTCACTTATGAAATCCACCATGTAAAATGCAAATGTGCCATGGCATGAAGCAAGACTCTTAAAGGGGATGGGAGATGAGACTCTGATTGGTTTAGTGCAGGTTATGCTCAAACACATAATTCATTAAGAGAATAAACACAACCCTTTTAGACCATGCGCCATGGCGCAGAGCATATTTTTCATCCTTAAAATAGCTAAATTGGATCCAGACATGAACTTAATGCTTTTGCACCATGCGCTTTAGACTGCGCCTAGACCGTCAAATTAGAGCCCTATGTCTTGGAAAGTAGTTTAAAATCGGAACTTGCTGAGATGTTTATTTCAGTATGTTGATGTACTTCCAACTGAAATGGAATATTAAGTAGGGGCGGGGCTCTTTTTGTGCATTATTCCCTGATACTGTAGCTAACTAACAGTCAGGGGGGTGTGGTCAAGAACATTGATGTACAGAAAGTAGTATTTCTTTAGTTGTATAAGATGCTAATATTATTGTGATGCAGGGGTCGCTACAGAACATGAAATAACAAGTTTTTGTGTAGGGATGTTTCTTTTATTCAGTTCAGCTCCCAGTCATTAATAAATGTGCGACAGCATCAAACAAACAAAACAAGAAGTCATTTTCAATTACAACCCAGGCAGAGCTCAAGACTAAAATCAATCTTTACACTTATATACAACATCCTCGCTTTCGAATTTATTGATTATAAATATATACGGTATATACACAACTAAAACGAGCTTGGGTAAAAGGCAAACATAACAATGAGGCAAGGTAAATGTAGAGATGTAAAGCTACTGTACATGAATAAATAATGTAGAATAAAGCTGAGTGAACCCAACGTAATCACTGAGAAATGAATGAAATACGGCTCCCTTTTTCGTCTTATGATTGGTGTATATATTTAAACTGATGTATAGAACATGATGATCCAGACTGGATTAAAATAGTCCTGTGATGGATAAAAAATGTTATTAACTACTCTCTCATTTCATTCAAAACACACCGAGGTCTTTGTTTATTTTCAGAATACAAATTAAAATGGATTTTAGATGAAATCCTGGAGCTCTCTCATCCTCCATAATCAGGAACGGTCCACAGATATTAAAATTCAGTAAAGGAACCAAAAATATTGGTGAAATAAGTCATTTTTACAGTGTTCTAGTCACACGAATGCGGTGTTGCATGGAATGTTTTGACTATTTTTGGGTACTTTTCTTTGAGCATCATCTCGGGACGCTTGTTGTCTATGGAGGATGAGAGCTCCAGGATTTCATCTAAAATATCTTAACTTGTTTTCTTAAGATGAACGAAGGTCTCAGTGGTTTGACACGACGCAAGGGTGATTAATTAATAACAGAATTTTACACTTTTGCATGAACTACTCCTTTAAAGAAATAAACCAATCAACAAAAACTTGACCCAACCCAGCAAACAATTTTGTGTTTAATAGACGTCTAATAGACATTTAAACGTAGACAGCTTGACTAAAACAAGGCTAAACTTGGGCTGTCGGTATAAATCTAATAGACATCTCTGAATAGCCCAAAACTAGACTAGTCATCAGTTAGACGGACTTAATATGTGTAGTCATTCATTTCCGTCTATTTGACGACTAGTCTAGTTTTGGCCTATTCTTATACATCTATTCGATTTTCACGACAGCCCAAATTTTGCCTTGTTTTGGCCAAGACGACTATGTTTACACGTCTATTAGACATTTTTTAGAAACAAAAAATGCTTCACGGGAAGGATTATCGATATATGTATATCTGTTAATGTTTCGTTTTTTTAAACCCAGATTTTTTTAAAGCGTTGACATTTTCCAACTAAAGGTATTCTCAAGCAGCATTGTTCGGGAGCAGAGAATATGATATTATATCACGTAACACACAAATAAAGCTAAACGTTCCACTAACAAAGTGCTTCGAAAACATTCCAGTCTCTCTTAGTGAGAAACTCGTTGCATTTCTCATAGGTCAAACTTAGTTCGGCTCAAACAGGGCGACTTTATAGTGAACTTGACAGCTTACGGATTTATTTTCAACATCAGCTTCTGCACCACTACAAATAAGGCAGCACCTATATAGTCAACGCAATGGTACAGAAGAAAAACAACTTTGAAATATGTAATAAACGAGTCAAATTGTCACGGATCGAGTTTGTAATGCCTTCCTTAGAGACTCACTTCAGAGATCTGGCTCAGAAAACAAACGTTACCAATGGGGAGTGTAGGTCTACCAAGCTCTCGGTTGCATATGTACATTCATGTGTTTCAGGGTTCGGCTGCATCTTCATCTGCTGTTTATAGCCTTTCCCTCCAAGACCAGCTGAATCTCTTTGGCATCCAATGTCTCGTAGCGCAGTAAAGCCTCCGCCAGGTTTCTGTGCTCTTTAGCGCGGGACTTCAGGAGAGCTTTAGCACGCTCGTAGGAATCCTATGCAAACAAATAAGCAAGTCAGAAACTGATAATAATAAATAGGTAGTCAGTATAAAAAGTGCTTTTGTTAAATAATGCGGGAAATGGAAGTTGCTGGGACTTTTGTTTGTTGATGTCCTTCAAACTGAAACAAAATATCAAGTAGGGGGTGTGGCTTTTTATTTGCACATCATTTACTCATAGCAAACTAAAGGCAAAGAGCACAGAATCACCAAGAGGCGACACTCTAGTGCAATTTGGGAAACAGCCACTAGAGGGCGCGGCAGCCATTTTGGAATGAAAACTTTAATAGAACAACAGCATATTATAACCTGTAAAATAAACTATTACAAGTGCTGATGATTGTGATAGTAAGTGCTGTATTGTCGTCTTTCAGGTTGTATCTCAGCTTTAAAACACTTTTTTAAATAAATAAATAAAATACAAAGCGGCTGATTGCCATCGAGACAGTAATAAGATCCGATGGATGGCCGATCGGTTTTACTCCAAAATGGCGGAATCCGGGGCTGTTGCCGGGCGCTGCTGTTGCAATGGAACGTTCTATTGAGTGTCGCCTCCTGGTCATTCTAAGCTCTTTGCTAACGGTTAGAGAGGATATTAATATACAGTTGCTATGGAAGCGCTCTGGTTGATGTCAACAGAAGGACTGACACTCCAAACGCGGAGGCCAATGGTCAGATTTTGATTGAAGATTACCAAACAAACTTTGTTTTAGCAGAGTAACTTGCAGAGATTCATTTACACTTTAAGAACAATAACGTGGGCTAGCAAAATAAATATTGTACATTTTGATTTTATTAGAAAGATCAGGAAAATACTAGCTTACCCTCAGAAGTATCCGAACTTCATGTTCAATGGCTGCCTGAGTTTCTGGGCTCTGCTTGGTGAGGTCGCTGTATGTCATCACACCCAACTATTACGAAAGCAAACAATGACAACTTTTATTATGTACTTGTGTTATGTTATTAAAGGCATTCTTTCCCCAAGTGTATAAACAAAGGAAAGGGTTAACATACTGTAATACTCAAATAAAAGTGCATAAATCATCAAGATTATGCCTACTTTGAAAACAATAAACTAAAGTAGTCAATCTGATTGTGTTATCACTGGGTTTCCTCGGGGTGTTAAAGTCTTACATTTAAAAAACAAACATTCAACTCTTAAAAAAGTCTTAAATACACAGAAATATTGTGTTGTAGATCTTAAAGCATTTTAAACAGGTCTTTATTTTCCTATGTTCATGTAAAGCTGCCCAATCAGTCTGACACCCATACAATTACTAAAAATACATCTCGATTGAAGTTGACCAATATGGATTAATTATCTTTCTTACAATAACATCTGTTTTAATGGGTTTTTTAAATGTTTTAACTGGGTCATTAGAAAAAATCTTTAGTGTTTAGCCTTGTGTAGGTCTGAAATTTCATTCATAATGTTCTTAAAGTCTTAAAATTGACTTGATGAAACCTGTAGAAACCCTGTATCAGATGTTACAGTATACAATTCGACACTCCAGTATACTTCTTTTGGATTCTTTTTGAGAGTTTTCTGTAAAACTGCTCATATACATCACAATACCCTTGACGGAGAGTCAAACTGACTATCAGCATCATTTTCTAAATGAACAGCATAAACGGAAAGCTCACAAAAAGAAAAACGACAAACCTTTTCACTCATGCCAAATCTGGTCACCATCATTTTAGCTATTTTTGTAGCGCTGTCAAAGTCACTTGATGCTCCTATGGAAAAAAATAAATAAAATAAAAATAAACATGTAACATATTAATCGAACAGGAATAAGCATAATTTGAGCTTAAATATTATTCATGCAGTGTTCTTTTAATACATATTTGCATAATATGAATGTATATTACAGTAAACATTCCATGAACATACAGCTGGGTTAACATGATCATATATAAAAAAAAAAGTATAAAATAAGAATTAATAAACAAACTGAATTAGACCTGGTGTCCGTTCTTCGTACCTCGCTTAAATGATCTAAGAAGATTTGGCAGATCCTGGATCTTTTAATCTTGATAACTGATCTCTGGCTAATTTGGTTCTTCAAACAAGTTCCCGAATCAGATTAGAATGTCTGGATGAACTGATCTGAGATCGCTGCGTGTGTTGTGAAGGACAGATCTATCGATCCTCGAAATCATGATTACGGCACAGCAGCGTAATGACATAATCTGATTAATATTCAATTATCCATGTAAGCAAAATTACAGAAAATTTGCAGTAAACCGTTTGTTAAATATTATACGCAATAACTTTACACCTTGTTGTGGGCTGCATGCTTGGCCTTTTCATGTGTCAAGAGCAATTTATTTAGTTTCAGTTAGAGCGGATTTTCCTAGTAGTAGTATAGTAGCCGGTATTTTCATCGGTGTAAAGAATAACTGGATGTTTACAAAAGCATTTTGATATTGGTAAAGGCGTCTGCAACTTTTATGAAGCATCAAATCGCCGCCATATAAACTGTCAAAACATGTTGATGACTGCATAAATGTAATATTGCTTTTCCAAAAAAAAGTCACATATTGTGCATTTCTATTACCATACACAAATTGTACTAAAGTGATCTAAAAAGTTAATCTTTGCACCACCAGGTGGCAGTCTTTGTACTTTCATTTCGGGGGTGCAGATTGCATAAGTTTTATTAAAATATATAACTTTATTTATTTTATTAACTATTACTTATATATAGTTTAAAAATAGTTACTATTTTCCCAAGTTTATATAATTACTACTGTAAGAAAATATCAGAATTCAGAACATACTTTCTGTATTATCTTTGCTTGAACTGAGCCGATCTAATCCTGTTTATATGAATTGAGCCTGCTCCCGATCAGGTTTGACCTAGCAGAACTGTTGCTATGACAACAACTCTCGGATCAGCTTTGAAGAACGAAACGATCCTGGATCGTGTCAAATCGTCAATTACCAAATCCAGCTAACCGAGTAATCCACGTATGAAGAACGGACCCCTGGGGTTCGTTCTTCGTACCTCGCTTAAATGATCTATGAAGATTTGGCAGATCCTGGATTATGCACAATTATGCACACAATGTGTATACTTCATGAGTAAGCACGTTGTCAGATCTTGCTTAAATGATTATAACCCTTTTCACAGACAAACGTGGTGTATTTCATAAACTGATCAGGGCTGTTCTGCTACTACTAATGTGCATTTCGGCATTTGAGTCCATCTTTATTTTGAAATTGCGGCAACAGCTGGAGGTTTGTAGTATAAAGCATGCTACTGCAATGTTTACAGTGCTGATCCTATACTTCCGGGTTTCTTCCCACCGCAGCCTCGCTTTCATGTTTTAAAATGGCTGCCGCATGAAATAAACATATAGCCTTAGACAGCAGCGCTAACAGTTCTGCAACATACCTGTGGTGATATTTTCATTGCCAAAAATGAGCTCCTCTGCAACTCGACCGCCCATACTGACATCCATCTGAGCCAGAAGCTGAGCACGGGTTTCACTCCAGCGGTCATTCTCTGGAAGCATGGACACCTGCGAAGAATTGAGATTAAGTTGAGACACTTCAATTAAAGGGGACCTATTAAACTACAAGGCTTTGATGTCCCTAGACTGTATGTGAAGTTTCAGCTCAAAATACCCCATAGAAAACTCTTTGAAACTGACCATTTTAGGCTTTAATCCTAATTGTGCATTTTGATGACTGTCACTGAGGGCGGAGCTATGAAAGCCTGTGTGTCAGCATAGTGGCAGATTCAAAACAGGACTAGTTTCACTCTCTGTGGAAAAAACTCCACATTTATAATCCTCTTAGTCGCTGACATTATCTTCAGGTGAAAACTTTAAAGGGCACCTAGGTTACCCCTTTTTTCAGATTTAATACAAGTCTTTTGCGTCTCTAGAATGTATATAAAGTTTCAGCTCAAAACACCAATCAGATTTTTCTTTATACCTTTTACAAGATGCTGTTTTTTACACATTTCCAGCAGGGGGTGGTTTTGTCGCACTGCGCCTTTAAGGCGAGTTCTGCCTGCCTACTGTTTCTACGTGCCTTCCCACGTGCTTTAATCTCCTCCCTCGGCTGCGTCAGACAACAGACTTAAAGGAAGAAGGTCTTACTTAGCGTTTGTGAGAAATACTACAGTAAGAACTAATCTTTAATCTTTACTAATATTGTGAAGTTGCATTGATGAGTCAAACACACACACACACAGGCAGGCAGACAGAGCACTTAGCTTAGCACTGTTTTTGCACTCAAATGTGACAGGATACAGGCTAACCTCCACTGCTGTGTGGATATCTGTTATGCTTATGTACAAAATAAAGATTTAACTTCCACAAACCGGGATTGAAGCGTCTTCTTTTATAATTGTTCTGACACGCGGCTGTGCTGATAAAGTAAATCGCTGTAATTAATTACACACATACTCTGTTTTAAAACACTTTAAACATGTGAAACTTACTCTTAATCACATCTGATGATGATTGCTGATCCCAGCGAACAGAACAGACCTTTTATTCCCGGTTGCTTTGCGTATGTCTGCCTGGTCTTGTTGACACACACACGTGACTACCGGAACATGTTAATGCGCGCAGCTGTCAATCAATTCGATGGGCGGGGGGACCGCACTCCTACGTAAAATTGCGGTCGGTCTGAAAACCGCACTAATTGGTCCACCATTTGTATGTTGTTAAATTGGAAAAAAAAAGGACTGTGTGTGTTTATATCACCCCAATATGATGTCACCATATATCATACACTATATATACACATATGTTTGTCCAAATAGCTTGAAAAGTAGATTTTTCACCATAGGTGCCCTTTAATGGCGGATGGCTACTTCTTACTTAGGGCTGTCTATGCTAATGAGGGAGAGAGGGGCGGGGTCTTTACCCCTCTGATGACACGTATAAAGGGAGAATGTCAATCAAAGTGTTTCTGCCGACTGTTTATATCAAGTCTGATTATAAAGAAATAAAATTAATACATTTTCACCACTGAAAGCTGGTTATATTCACACACTGCTGCCACACAACTGTGTTTTAACCCCTTATAAAGGTGATTTTCGCATATTAGGTCTCCTATAAACAAATGTGTATCTAAAAGGTACACACAGAAGGTACTCACATGACCCAAAGTTGGGCCTCTGGGCATAATAGTAGCTTTATTAATGGGCATGGCGTCTTTGGTGTAGTACGCAATAATAGCATGGCCTGACTCGTGGTACGCCGTGATCTCTTTATTCCTCTTGTCGATCTCTGCACTCCTGCGTTCTGGCCCTGCAGAGGGGGAAAGCCAATATAACACTTAAAAATACAATAAAATACAGTTGAAGTCAGAATTATTAGCCTTTCGGTATATTTTAATAAGTTTTCAACACATTTCTAAACATATTTTAGGCAAAATATCACAACTCTCATTTTAGCCAGAATCCTGCAGCTCTAGCTTATGAGCAAGTTCACTGTTTTATGGAAAAACTCGAGACACTTACCCATCAGTATCTTGTCTTTAGCAAACTCCAGCTCCTTCATGGTCACCATGTCTTTGCCGTCCACAGCAGCCTTGAGTGCAGCCTGATTTACCAGATTCTCCAGCTCGGCACCAGAGAAGCCAACCGTTCCTCGAGCAATGACCTCTGCCTCCACAGCTAAATCCCATCAACAATTACCTTACAGCATTATTACATTTATTTAAACATTAAAGTCTTGTGTATAAACACAGTTGAAGTCAGAATTATCAGCCCCCCTGTATATCTTCCCCCAAATTCTGTTTAATGAAGATAAAAAACATTAGACACTTTTCTCATCATAATAGTTTTAATATCTTAATTCTAATCACTGATTTCTTTTATCTTTGCCATGATGACAGTAAATAATGTTTGACTGGATATTTTTCAAAATACTAGTACTCAGCTTAAAGTGACATTTAAGGGCTTAACTAGGTTACCTGGGCATGTTAGGGTAATTAGGCAAGTCATTGTATAATGGTGGTTTGTTTGGTAGGCAATCCAAATCAAATAGTGCTTAAGGGAGCTATTAATAGTGACTTTAAAAGGGTTTAAAAAAAAAAAAAACTAAAACTGCTTATTCTAGCCAAAATAAAGCAAATGAATCTTTCTCCAGAAGGAAGAATATTATAGGAAACACTGTGAAAAAATTCCTTGCTCTTTTTAACATAATTTGGAAAATATTTGAAGAATCATGGGAGGACTCATCATTTTGACGTCAACTGTGTGTCATAACTAAATATTAAACAGGACACTCACCGGAGTCCACTTTAATTTTTTTAAGGTACCACTTGAGGATTTCTGTGCGGCCCTTCACATCTGGTCTGGGTACAGTGACCTGCATATCGAAACGACCGGGCCGGATCAGAGCACTGGGGAAGGAGACAGCATTCAGATGTCTGATCAATCAGTAATAGTGTAGGAAACAAACCTTTCAAATCTACAAACTCTCTTATATCATCTCTTAGGTTAACAGTGATGGGAATAATGGCGCTACAAAATAAACGGCATTACTTTTTTCAGTAACGAATAATCAAATGAATTACTGTTTACCCTTTTGCACCGTTGTTACAGTTACTGACGATACTGGAATAGGGTATTTGCCGAAGCATGCTAATAGGACTTTTAATTTGCCAGTAACCTGGGTTAAGCGTTTCCAGTGAACTGTATGCCAAAGCAAAAATCGGCACGTTTAAGGTCTGTTTTCTTTCCAAATCAGCGATCTCCACTGGCTGAGTGATATCCGATATGAAGTGGGTCTCAGATTGTACAAGAAGCACTGCATTTAATCACATTTCCCCGCCATGTCTTTATAATATGAGCATTTATTTTACCCCAGAATATTCAATGGAGCTTCTGTGCTAGCCTGCCAATCTTGATAGGCTTTTTGTCTCATTTTACGCTTGAGCAACTAAATGAATGCCAAAGTCTATTTAACTGAATGTATTTTAATGACATTACAACATAAATGCTATAAAAGGAACCATATAAAAAGGAAAAAAGTCACAATAACTGATGACCAGAAGTTTATCAGTTTGGGAAGAAACACTAGCTTGGCATATACCCTATCCATTACCAGACCATGTGTTCATTTGGTGCTGAAATTTTAAAAAAGTCCATATCCCGCTAACATTTGAGCACTGTGTAGTGCGTTCCTAAACACAGCTGCTTCACTATTGTGTTCATATGCTCAACAGCAATGACTGTTGTTGACTGAGTGTAAACACAGATACAGGGACACTGGAGCATTTTAAAGCTGCGATTCATTAGTGGATCACTCGTATGTCAACTTGCAGACAAACCAGCTGATCAACGTGACTTTAAACGCTACAGTGTACCGAAGTAGTGGTACTGAAGTAGCAGCTCTTTTGACAACACTAGTCAACAATATCTGAAAAAGCTGTGCTCAGATAAATAAAAACTCTACGCACTTATCCAAAGCTTCAGGGAAGTTTGTTGCTCCAATTATGATGACGCCTTCATTTGGCTTGAACCTGGAGAAGATAAAAAGACAATTAGCAAAACTTACAATCCTTTCACTTCTGTTTCCACTGAGCGGTACGGTTCAGTAGACCAGGGGTTTTCAACCTTTTAGGACACACCCCAACCCCCTCAATTATACTCGCTTTTTGCTGTTTTATTCATTATAAATTTGAACTAGAATGAAGGAAAGTGAACATTTTCTTTGATTTACAATTGACCATATGCATGGAACGTCCTTAAGTCAGCCAAAAAATGTTTGGTGTGACTGTATTTATAGTGTTATAATTAGTAATAGTATATAATAATTGTTCATACCCCTGGAAAATTCTCAGCACAGGCTCATACTGAAAATGTAGTTCTACCAGAAAGACTTTAGGAGGCAGATAAACGTTTGAACATTTATTGTGAATTGTTTGCATAAATGTAAGTTCGTTATGGTCCTTTTATAAAGTCCTTTGGCGTAAGCCTCGCCTATAGTCCAATAGGCCAATTTCACTCGCACCACCCCAACCGCCCCTCCACCAAGCCAAAATTATAATGCATATACAAACATCATTCACCTATTGCGTAGCATTAATTGACCCTTCGCTAAGCCACACCCAAAAACCACCACCAACTAAAACTAGAACTGAAAAACATTTCCGTTTGCTGAAATAAAAATGAGTTTCTTAAAAAACTAGAACTGAAACTAGTGCACATACAAAAAAAGGCCTTCGTTTTTGTAAATGTCTAGTGAGTCTTTTGACCGTACAGCACCTCAGAGACTGAAATCCTGATGCCATTGGCCAGATCAAGACAGTCATGCTCGTTGTTGCTCCCGTGACAAAAAAAACAAAGGCTGGACATGACAGCAGCACGGTGACTGCATTAAATACGACCCGAGCAGACACTTAAAAGTATTTAACAAATTTGTGGCCAATAATGGGTTTTATTTCTTTATTAGTGATCGCAATCGCGAACGAATCATTCTTTTTAACTGGATCTTCTAAGTGAACCGGTTGAAATAGTTTACCAAAACAAACTAAATAATTTAAAATGATTTGCGTCTCCAATAATATTAGGCACTTATCCACATACTAACTTTTTAACATGCCTGATACTCTCTGACTCGAAACAAACCAATATATACTGAGCTATTCAGTTATCAGTACAGCACACTGAGATCAGATTTAAGAACTGATGAACGGATAACACAGGGCATGTGTGAATTGGTGAACCAAACACAAACAGTACATGACAGAACATGTGACTAAACTAAACTTAAAGAACTGCATCAGCGGTAAACTGAGGGCTTAAATGAGAGGATCTGGTAAAACGCAAGTTTTTTTTCATAACAGAAAGACGTAACAGTTTAAATAAGTGAATCATGCTTCAGTTGCGTTGCAAGTCTTAATGTAAGAAACTTTTCAGACTAAGATGATGTTTTAACTGACTGAAATTACGATTGCTGACTATATATTGCTAATATGTTGAATCAAAACGGGAGAATTGTCACAAAAATCCGGATTGCCCTAAAGATCTGAACTTCCCATCACTACTGTGTATCTAATCTCAAAAGCAGCCTTGCACACATATTGTATTTTGAGCAGCTAACTTGAGGGCTGTTGTATTTTGAATTTGAGGATGGATAGTGGAAGATAGTAGTGTTCGTGTCAAAAGAATAATAATAATAAATAAAAATTATATATTATACATCATTTATTCTATGATTTTGAATCTTGCACCTAACAAATATCCTAATTTACAAAAAAAAAAACACAAACTAATAAAACCTAAACAAAAACTAATCGATTTCAAAATATAGAAACTAATAAAACCTAATAAATCTGCCTCTAAAAACTAATTAAAACTAACTGAATTTGAAAACAAAAAGTCAAAACGATATCAAAAATAAAACTAATGAGAAATCCAAAACTATTATAACCTTGTACTGTCAGAATCTTATACCGGCCCATGTCTAATACAGTTCACTATTTTGGTACGTCTGACCATTAAAAAGAAAATAAAAGCATCTATGAGACTGCAGCTATAAGTCGTGATGAAGTTCGGTGTATCAAGGCTCACCCGTCCATTTCTGCAAGCAGCTGATTGATTGTCTGTCTAGAATAGGGGTGCATGGGAGACTCGATCCTCTTTCCTCCGACACTGTCCAGCTCATCAATGAAGATAACACAAGGAGCGTTTCCTTTAGCTTCTCCTGGAGGACAAATGCAGGGGAAATACTTTAACACATGGTTTTATTTCACTGTATGTGATCAAGTTAAATTATTTACATCTTTTTTGCTTGTTTTATCCGTATTTGTGTTCTTTTCTTTGTAATATTGTCATAAAATCCTTAAATAAAGTTACATATAGCTGAAGTCAGAATTATTAGCCCTGCTGTACATTTTTCCTCAATTTCTGTTTCTGTTCAACCCATTTATAAACATAATAATTTTAATAACTCATTTCTAATAGCTAAATTCTTTTATCTTTGCCATGATGACAGTAAATAATATTTGACTATGTATTTTTCAGGATACTAGTATTCAGGTAAAAGTGACATTTAAAGGCTTAACTAGGGTAATTAGGCAAGTCATTATATATCAGTGGTTTGTTTTGTAGACTATTGAAAAAATAATGCTTAAAAAGGCTAATAATAATGGCTTTAAAATGGTTTTAAAGGTGCCCTATTATGAAAATCTGGCTATGCCAAGGTATAGAGAAATATTAAAAGATTAGTATATGGAAATGGATAAACCATAAGCCTCAGATAACACTGTTTCCTCATCTTCATGTAAAATCAACGAGTGTTAAACCCCAGTGGACAATCAGAGAATAAATCAAACTGTGACGAGACTCACAGGCCACGCCCTCTGCATTTGCATGTATGCCTACTTTAGGCCATTCATCCGGATCAGGTCATCAAGAGCACACAGACTCATATTCAGCTCTGAGATCATAAAAAAGCACCAAAATTATTAATATGCATGCCTCAGGCTGCATTTAATAAGCCAAAGTGATACAACAGTGATATTTTTCCTCCCTTAGTTATTTTAAGTGTATATTTCACTCACTATGTATGTTATTTTGAAAATGCGAGTCTTAAATTGTTTACAGTGCGTTACTTTATGGATTTACAGATTACACATTTATTAATCTCCACTCCGAAGAGGAATACGGCATGTGTAGTTGCATCTTTTGTTCATTTATTGTGTTTATTGTGAAATTTGATGCCTATGTTTAAACAAACACATGTTGACTGCTGAATCTTGTCAAATCACTCAGCTCAACTATCATCTGTTCATGCAGAGGTTGAGATTAATTCCTGGCTGGGTTTTTTTTGACTGTAGCTTCAAAATACAACGGGATACTGCTCTATCACTCTCTTTAGTCAAGTTTAATTATGGTTTAGCCTTTATCCACAACAGATCTGGTGAGCAAAATAGGTTAATGTTTTTCTGATTGGGTTTATATTTGTCCATGTTCAGTGTACATCATCTTCTGTGTGTGTGTGTGTGTGTGTGTGTGTATCTGTGTCTAAGAGCTCATCAGTATTCAAGACACAAACCATATATGGTCAATTATGGACTTTCTGATTCGATGGGCATTTTATGGAATAATAAATTCGCTTCTAAAACAATTTCTGGAGATTTTTTTCAACTTATCGAAGTCATAAACCTACAACGTGGTTATCAGAGAACAAATTAACTTATAGTTATTTAACATACTACTTTAAAAAAACATTAAAAAATGATTTTATTCTAGCTTAAATAAAACAAATAAGACTTTCTGCAGAAGTAAGAATATTATAGGAAATACTTTGAAAATTTCCTTGCTCTGTTAAACATCATTTGGGGAATATTTGAAAAAGATTAATTCACATGAGGGGTAAGAATTCTGACTTCAACTGTATATATAGAAAAAGAAATACTTTAAAACATGAACAACCTAAATACAATTATTCAGCTAGCATAGACCAAATAATAAAAGAGCACTTCTGACTTTTTCCAGGGAATTTCAGGCACACTTTTATGAAATTATTGAGAAACAGGCAGGCTGGAATCATCATTTGGAGTGTAATAATGTAAGATTTGCACTCACTGAAAAGGTTTCTGATTCGACTGGCACCGACTCCAACAAACATCTCATCAAACTCTGATCCAGATGCGTAGTAGAAAGGCACATCCGCCTCACCCGCCACAGCACGTGCCAACAGGGTCTTTCCTGTTCCCGGAGGCCCAACCAACAAGATTCCTGCAAATTACGTGAATGATTAAAAACGTGGCAAAACAAATTACTATCACTGATAGTGCTGTAACAGATCACAAATATCAAGGTTTGGAGCACATTATGGTTTTTTTAGTCATGGATCAGACCATTTTTTCAGGTCAGCCAAAAATGGGAGGAGACTAAAGTAATCTCTTTCCATTTATTACTGAAACAGCACTGCAAGACACTTTTGATTTTAACAGAGAACTCAAAACCTGTAATTTTATTAAAAATAAAATGAAGAAATAATCAGCTGAATTAAAATGAACTAAAATATTCAGTACTGTGAAAAATTCACTGCTACTACTAGTGTTGCTGATAACGCTAAATGTAGAAATCTAACATTATCATTTGTACAACCCATTTTTATTTTTAGTATCATTTTCAAGAAATGATTCAGTGATTCACTCATAAAACTTATGACGATCATTATGATGATCATTATGATCATTATTGAAGTATTGTTCAGTGGCATATTTTGATGGCTCTTTGTCGCCACCTATTGGTTAAATAATGCAATTGCTGCTTACAACTTTCATATTTGAGCGTCAAGTTAAATGCATATGATGGAGATTTTAATCTTTACCATAAACATCAGTGGTTTTATTTGAACTATAATCTGTTCTCCCAGTACTTCTGTGTTATTTGACTGTTTGTAAACTAAAGACTGAATCTCTTTCTTGATTTTTGCGTTTGTCAAACACAGATTTTAACTCAGGCCCATTTCCACTGAATGGTACAGTACGGCAAGGTACGGGTCACCTTTATCAGGCTTGCATTTCCACTACCGAGGGTACCCTTTTGGTGGGTGAGGTGTTCAACAGAAAGTTTCAGTCGACGTCATTCTCGCTCGAATAATCGTCAAAGTAAAGCTGTACAGGTCGTTCACATATCATATGAGCAGCACTTCTCACAAAACAGATGCTTTACACGCATAATTACTTATTTAAAATGTTCATTACTAACCGTTCTTTGAACATGATTTGATTATAACTGCAGATCAATGGCAAAAAATAGCCGTCTGCAATTATATAAATGCAACATATATGAACACACACAGATCCTTTCCTCTCCGATGTTACCAACTACAGAAAAACTACACATAGCATACATTTAGTCCTTATTTGTGTTAAAAACAACACGCAACACAGTCAGTGCAAACTTCTCATCTGTGTCTGAAATCTTCAGCAGCACATGTAAACTCTGTTATGCTGCGTTCACACCAGACACGGAACGCGCGTCAAGTGCGAGTGATTTACATGTTAAGTCAATGCAAACGCACGAATAGACATCCTGCGGCGCGAATTGCGTGAATGGCGCGGTGTGAATAGCGCGATACGCGCGAATGGCGTGGGGCGAATTGAGCATTTTGCGCGTTTGACGAGCTAAACATGCGTTTCTGAACAATCTGAACTTCAGCGGACATTCACGCCGCATTAACCAATCAGAAGCTTGCTCTTGTGGGGGCGTGATTGTGACGTAGAACCTGTTGATGGTGTCCCGGGGGAAATCCTCCAACAAGTCATCAAACTGGGCTTAGCTCAGTCAGAAGCACCGTTGAAAGCCTCCGTGATCCAGGTTCAGTTTCTGGAGGAGTTTATGAGCTCACAGAGCTGGATGCACCTCTGAAAGCATGTAGTGGACTCAGACACGGTCCTAAACGTATCGACGCTGTTTTTCAGCCTTCATAAAGTACATTAACATTGTTATTTTCTTCATAAAATCCATGTTAGCCATTTAGCAACGAAGCTACAGTCACCGGGCAGACAGAAGCCCTGCCTATCATGCAAATCCGCGTCTGTTCTGAAGTGAATTTGACATGCGAATGAAGCGGATTTCACGAGCGAATGAAGCGGGGTTTGACGCGCGAATGAAGCGAGCAAACTAAAATGTTCACGCGGCAATTTACGCGCAAATTTATCCGCGCGTTCCGCGTCTGGTGTGAACACAGCATAAGAGTAATTCTATCATCCAGAGTTTGTAATAGTCCAGAAGGCGACGATAAACATGGCAGTTCGTTCATAATTCTGATTGCTGAAACAATTTGCTCCTGTGTTTTGTCGTGTTTTTAAACATAATTTTTTGATTTATTTTATTTCTATGTTTGTATTGTTCACCAAAATCTGGTTTAATACCATGTCAGCAGCTCCTTTAGGACATTTTTCTCAGAAAATAAACATGCGTGTTGAATAATTTTTTCACCCTCTGTATATACATTCTTCAAAATATACTGAATAAAAACAATTTTACATTAAAATGTGACAATTCATTTAAATGATTCTGTGTTGGAGTTTTCTTATAATGTGTGTTCTTGCCTTTAGGCAGCTTTCCTCCTAAAACGGTGAACTTCTGTGGGTTCCTCAGGAACTCCACCACCTCCTGCAGCTCGTTCTTGGCCTCCTCCACACCCTTCACATGCTCAAAGGTGACGTTCTTCATCTGGACCGGGTCCACAGCAGAGTCCAGGCCTGATGTAGTTCGGAATCGCACTGTCCGGAATGGTTATAATACAGTTCACACACACTCCAAACACACACACAATGCACTCCACGGAGCATGCTCAGAGGCACAACAGCACCAAACCAACCAAGAGGTCAGTAACCAGATTAACAACCTGAATTATACATTCACACTGGCAGACATGACAAACAGGACATACAGTTGAAGTCAAAATGATTAGGTGCTCTAGGTGCGACAGACGCTAGAGGCCATGGTCTTTAGCCTCCTTATTAGAGCAACCAACTGCCATGCAAAGAATCGCTGGTTCAATCCTTCCTCAGAACGGTTTGGGTGCAGTATGACCGGTGGATTATATGTGGGGGCTTGTCCGGAATGGGAGTGAGGTTTAGGGGGGGGGGTCAGTGTAATGGAGGCCAGCTAACGAAGTGCTATGCAGTTAAACCTAACACCTCTAACCTCAAAAGGTGCTCTAGCGACAGGTCTTTAGCCTTCTTGTGAGAGCAACCGACTCCCATGCTAAAAAATTACTGGTTTGATCCCAGCTCAGAACTGGTTGGGTACAGTAGGACTAGTGGGTTATTTGTGGGGGCTCGTCCGGGATGGGAGTGAGGTTTAGGGAGGTGAGTGTAACGGAGGCCAGCTAGCAAAGTGCTATGCAGTTAAACCTCAAGCCTCAGACCTCAAAAGGTGCTCCAGCGACAGATGCTAGAGGCCATGGTCTTTAGCCTCCTTGTTAGAGCAACCAACTTTCGTGCAAAGAATCGCTGGTTCAATCCTAGCTTAGAATGGGTTGGGTGCAGTACGACTGGTTGTGAAGGCTTGTCCGGGATGGGAGTGAGGTTTAGGGAGGTAAATGTAATGGAGGCCAGCTACTGAAGTGCTATGCAGTTAAACCTCACGCCTCTGACTTCAAAAGGTGCTCTAGTGACAGATGCTAGAGGCCATGGTCTTTAAGCCCGGTTTATACTTCTGCGTCAAGTGACCGGCGTAACACACGGCGCAAGCAACGCTCATAGCTGTGCATTTATACTTCTGCGCGCTGTCTCTGTTGGTCTGCATTGACACTTCCGAAACGCTAGTTGGCAGTGAGGTGTAAATGTTCCTCTGTGTCGAGTTTCTTCGCTGCTGTTTTGCTTTTCCTGAACACTTCCGGGATGTACAAGTGGCTCAAACTCGCTCATTTTGAGGTAGGAACCAGCGGACGTGCAACAACTTTAACTATGAGGTAAACACAAAACAAAACTTTCCATCCGGAGCTCCTTCACGGGACTCCACACTTGTAAACAGTCGCTCCATCAGGCTCGCACCATTCACGCGGCTCTCGGTCCCGCCCAGACTCGTTATCGCTACCAAGCCGACTATTCACAGAGCTTGCGCTACGCGTCATTGCGACGTTTAGTTACATTTATTGAGAGGTGCACATCAGCGACGCCAACGGCCACAGCGAAGGGCTATGCGTCAGCGCCGTAGCATACACCGGTGTTTGACGCAGAAGTATAAATCAGCCTTTAGCCTCCTTGTTAGAGCAACTAACTCCCATGCAAAGAATCGCTGGTTCAATCCTAGCTCAGAATGGGTTGGGGGCAGTAGGACTGATTGGTTATAAAATATTTCCCAAATGAGGTTTAACAAGGCCAGTATTTCCTATAATATTTTCTTCTTCTGCAGAAAGTCTTGTTTGTTTTATTTTGGCTAGAATAAAAGCAATTTTTTAAAACCATTTTAAGGTCAATTTGATTAGCCCTCAAGCAATATATTTTCGATTCTCTACAGTCTTTAAATGCCACATTAATCTGAATACTAGTATTTTGAAAAATATCTAGTCAAATATTATAAATCATGGCAAAAATAAAATGAATTGGTTATTAAATCTATTATGCTTAGAAATGTGTGGAAAAATTTTTTTCCGTTAAACAGAAATTGGGGACAGAATATACAGGGGGGCTAATAATTCTGACTTCAAATGTATATTATACAGTTGTGGTATACACTTCAGTTTTTAAACAGCCATTAAGCACATGCAATATTTGTAAAGTTTTCTAAAGAAAAAAGGCCATCAAATTCAAAACAAATGATTATTACAGACTTCCAGACATTGAAAAACATTTACCTGATAAGAAAGGTGTTTTGGAGAGTCCATACAAGCCCACCAGCAGAAGCACCAACAGTATGAGTCTGGTCCTCCTAAGCGATTCTGTTGAAGATGATGATATGAAATACAACATAGATTTTTTACAATAATAAACTATGTAATGTTAAAAATTCATTGTGTCGTGATTTGTTGTTAATATCAGACATGCCTTGGGTTCTCTGTGTAAGAGCCTGAGCTTTGAGGAAACCCTCGGCAAAACCAGTCTTAAAAGCATCATGTTGACCCTCGGGAATATTTTTGTTTTTAAGGAGTTTTTCCAGTGTTTCAACGTCTGGTCCTTTATCACGTGTGAGGAAACCCTATTGGACACACAAAAAATACAACATTTACAACTCAATGTAAACGAACGATCGCACAAATTCTGAAAGAACTACTGACTTCACTTTATAGAGAGTGTTATGTTCGCTTGCAGAAGCTATTTTGGGTATTTGTGAGTGCGTTTGTTTGTATGTGGGTGTGTCAATTCCTGCGTGTGTTACAGGTACAAATGGCATTGAAGGATCTGCATTTCACGCTAATGACGTTGGCCGCTGAGGCTGAGTTTGCGCCTCCAATCGCTGGTCGGCATAGCGTTTAAAAGCTGAGCCCAAACTGCAATGGTGATCTCTCTCTCCATCTCTTGCTCCTTTTTGCTCTTGCTCTTTCTGTGGATCTCTGTGAGGACAGTCTCTCTTGCGAGGGCTAGTCTGAGAGAATGTGTTTTGCTTGTGTCTTATGCTCTTATCTAAAGTTTTGAGATCTGCAAGTGCAATGTGTTTGCTTGTGAACTTGTCCAGTTAACTGATATGTTCGTCACATAGCGTGTTGTTTTGACACAGGGTTACGATGTAACCTGCTCACCTAATGTTTACGTTCGTAATATTTATATCATTTACTAATTAATAACCATTTCATGTGGAACTCTGAATCTGCGTCTCATTTCGGAGTTTGCTACTGTCCACTAGAGATCACATTTCAGTCACGGACGCATGCTTTGAGAGACTTTATGACTGAAATATGTTGAAATACAATTGGCTAAACTAGCATTAGCAGCCGTTACGGCAAGTAGCTCACATGTTCCAAGCAGAATATCTGACTTTAGCATTGTTTTTCAGATAAACAAGAATGTTCACTTAGCATGTTTCTTAAATATCTGCAAAGATATTATGGTATTTTATAGGGATGTAACAATATTGTAAATACCGTCATACCGCAATAGTAATTTTTTTCAATATTACCGTAGGCGCATGACTCAATAAAACTATATTTCTGAGAAAAGTATGCTCAGGCGAATGAAGCGAACAGGAGGTAGCGGGAACTACAATTCCCATTGGCCATCATCCTTTGCGGTCTGTTGTCACTACAGATCCAGTAATGCGGAAATGGAGTGTGTTGCTAGTAGCGGAGAAGAAATTGTGTGGATTTCAAATTGTGGAAGCATTTCAGTTTCTTTCTAAAAAGATACGAAAAAGGAGAAAAGGTCACAGACAAAGAAAAAAACAATAAGCAGGCACTGCCAGAATATGGTGAAATATAAGTCGGGGAATACGACTAAAAACAGTCATGGGGACTGCAGAACACAGCACACTTGTTAGATTAATGCAGACATTGACTTGTACCGCAAAGAGACCTCTATCTCACTCATGGTTTGTCCTCTCAAGTGGTGGAAAGACAATGCACAACGTTACCCACTGCTGTCAACCTTGGCTAAATCATATCTCTCTGTCCCAGAAACCTCAGTCCCAAATGAGAGGGTTTTTTTTCTGTTGTAGGGGACATGGCCAGAGATCCCAGCTTTGACCAGATTATAGTAAAATGATAATTTTCCTTAAAAACCCATCTCTATCCAAGTGAGTGCGGGATTAAATGTTGAATGTGATGAGTTTTCAACAATAATAAATTGAAACTTTATTTTTTTTTATATGGTTTAATAGTTCCTGTTTCAAAATTTACAGATAGATGGCTAATGTGTATGTCATTGATATGTTCAGTGCTAAAGTAAATAAACACTTTTGGCACTTTTTTTCGAGTCTTTTCATTAGTTTTGTTTTTCCTGTAAATTATTCAATAAATACCGTACCGTGCCATTCATACCGAGGTATTATCGTACCGTGAAATTCTGATACCGTTACATCCCTAGTATTTTATGCTTTAGGAGTCAAAAACGTACATACAGCACCTTTAACATCCAAATTCAAACTTGCTAACATTAGTTAGCATGAACAGTAAACATGAACAACTTTATTTCCATTAACTAATGTAAACTAACATAAACACTGTAATAAATGAAATAACCTTATTGTAAAGTATTACCCTCTCAATAATAATCATAAAGAAGCATTGTATTGCTGTGTGAATGACCTTCATAAATGACGGTGTAATTCCCTCAGGCTCCACTGGACCCTCAAAACCTCCCTGCAGGCGTCGTGTTCGGGACTTCAGGGTTTTAAAGCCTCGATTTTGGACCAACACTGAAAAAACATCACATTGGGTAAACATTTGGAGCTGCCGGCACATAAATGAAGTCGTTATGTGCGACAACAAATAAAGTGCACAGCTTACAAGGTAAATAGTTGAGATCTGTGCAGAGAGTTTGGAGAGGAGACTGGTTTTGCCTTGAGAACACCGGAGTGACACCACCCATTCTTGAAAACCCTGAATAACAGAGGAGAAATTAAAGTTTAGATGTCAGCAATGTTTCTAGAAGTTTAATAAACCATTTTAAGACTTTGTTGTCTGGTTTCATTTAAAGACTTAAAGGTGCAGTAGGTGATCTTTCACAATGCTAACAGCTTAGCATAAATCTCTGAATCACAGTCATCCCCTGCCGTCTAGAGCCACGCCTCCTGAAACACGAGCACAGCAAAAGAACCCTCTCTCATGTGTTAAAAGCGACTAGTGTTTGTCCGCCGGCGTGCAAGCCAAACTGACATGCGATTTCAGAGCGAATATTTAGAGTTGCATGGTAAACAATATAGGGAGAGACTAGGCGGAGTAGCGCTATTTACTTGTGTTTTGTTGTTAAACTAATTAAAATCTACATCATAGATGCTGTAAAAGGTCCCTTATGAAATGAAAATAGTTTGTCAATCTTTCATCGGAAGATTTTATTAGCTGAACAACACTTCTGTGAAGATATAACCCGTTTGTAACAACAACATCTAACGTTACATCAGCTTTGCGTGAAGCTAAACAGTTTTAAAACAAAACATTACCTGTCTAAGAGAAATCCTTCATCTATTGTGTCATCCTTTCTCCAGCGTGCAAAATTAACTCCAATACTGATTCAGGTTTTTAAAAAGTTTTGATTCAGCATGTTTTTACCGATCGCGCACGCATGCTCTCTCTCGTGAAAACGCGGCAGTCGGCGGAGATGCGTACAACAGCTGTGCAGTTGTTCAAATCTGCATTTGCTGACAGACAGATTGGGCTACTTATCGGAACATATAAATACATTTAAATAATCATTACTATTAGACTGTGAAGAGACTTTCAACCAGCACAACAACAAATGCTTCTGAAGACAATCACCTGCTGCACCTTTAAAGGGATAGTTCACCCAAAATGAAAACTTTATCATTCACTTAAGTGGCTTTAAATTAGGGCGTATATATATATATATATATATATATATATATATATATATATATATATATATATATATATATATATAAATATATACATATAAAAAACACTTTAGCCTCTCACCATGTTTGTTGTGAAAGAAAGAGTCAGAAGAGAGATGAGAAGTCCTCCAGATATCTGGCACAGTCTTCAGTTGCGAGTCCTGCTGAGAAACACGAGGCAGAAGCTTCTCCAGCAGCTCATCTATCTGGACGAGACCGAGATCTGACAGACCCAAATCTCTGAGGGACAGCGACGGCTTTCCGGCAACACCCAACACATGCAGAATTAAAGAAGAAAAAAACAACGTTAATAATCATAAAAAAGCATACATAGTACATGTTTTAACTACTACACATCATATCAATAGCAGCATTCCTCTAGCGCTACATTCTCTGAGCACAAACAAACTATTTTGTATAACTAGCACTTCTTGTGTTTATCGCCTCTTCTTATTGAATCGCTGAATGCCTCCTCAATTGTAAGTTGCTTTGGACAGAATAAATGTAACGAAATGTAAATGTTTTTTCATCCAGAGATTTGCATGGAGTGTGAGAGATCCTATACATCAAAGTTTCTGAAAGCAAAGAAGGTCCAGGTGCTCCAGGATTGTCCAGCCCAGTCACCAGACATGAACATTATTGAGCATGTCTGGGGTGAGATGAAGGAGGCGTTGAAGATGAATCCAAAAAATCTTGATGAACTCAGGGAGTCCTGCAAGAACGCTTTCTTTGCCATTCCAGATGACTTTATTAATCAGTGATTTGAGTCATTGCAGAGATGTATGGATGCAGTCCTCCAAACTCATGATAGAGTCAGACACAATATTCATTCTTTCTCCACTGCAGCATGACTTTATATACTATACTGGACATTATTTCTGTTAAGTGACGAGACTTTTGTCTAAGCAAAGTCAGACCTTACTGTCCTAATTAAAGAATTGAAAACAAAGTCCACTTAAGGCATGTCACTTCACTCTGCGTCCATCTTTGGAACGCCTCTTGGGCAGTGTGCTCGGGCATTCTGTTTGAATGGGGAAACATCAAATTCTCCAAAACTGCTTGCCAAGCTTATGAATGAATTGCATATTAGAAATCAACAAAATTAAACAACATCTGCCCCTTTAGTTTCATTTCTAAATGAACAAAAATCACAAAATCTGCAGAAGCTCACGTCTGGTCCAAGCCCCTCCCCCAGAGTATAGTCGGTCTATAGCGATCGATGATTGGCTACTGTACTAGTAGGCGGGGCTTTATTCACCATATTGAACGTTACACTTTTCCCCATTTAAAAAGATACGAGTGACACGTCTTTTGTATTCTACGGTATGTTAAAAATCCCTCACCGGCCACTTTATTAGGTACACCTTACCAGTGCTATGTTGGACTCCATTTTGCCTTAATCATTCAAGGCATAGATTTAACAAGGTACTGTAAATATTCCTCAGAGATTTTGGTTCACATTGACATAATAGCATCACATAAGTTGCAGTAGATTTGTCGGTTGCACATCAATGATGCCATTCTCCCATTCCACCACATCCCAAAGGTGCTCTATTGGATTGAGCTCTGGTGACTGGAGGCCATTTGAGTATAGTGAACTCATTGTCATGTTCAAGAAACCAGTCTGACATGATTCACGCTTTATGACATGGTGCGTTATCCTGCTGGAAGTAGCCATCAGAAGATGGAGACACTGTGGTCATGCTTTCATGCAGTTAATGGCAAATTCTGACCTGACCATCCAAATGTCACTGCAGAAATCGAGACTCATCAGACCAGGCAACGTTTTCTCAATCTTCTATTGCCCACTTTTGGTGAGCCTGTGTGAATTGTAACCTCAGTTTCCTGTTCTTAGCTGACAGGAGCGGCACCCGGTGTGGTCTTCTGCTGCTGTAGCCCATCTGCCTCAAGGTTAGACATGTTGTGTGTTCAGAGATGCTCTTCTGCAGAGCTTGGTTGTAACGAGTGCTTATTTGAGTCACTTTTGCCTTTCTATCAGCTCGAACGCGGTTGGCCATTCTCCTCTGACTCAACAAGGTATTTGCACACACAGAACTGCCGCTCACTGGATATTTTCTATTTTTCGGTCCGTTCTCTGCAAACACTAGAAATGGTTGAGCGTGAAAATCCCAGTAGATCAGCAGTTTCTGAAATACTCAGATCAGTCCGTCTGGCACCAACAACGTCACATTCAGTCACCTAAGTCACCTTTCTTCTCCATTCTGATGCTCAGTTTGAACTGCAGCAGATCGTCTTGACCATGTCTACATGGCTAAATGCATTGAGTTGCTGCCATGTGATTGGCCGATTAGAAAATCGTGTTAACAAGCAGTTGGACAGGTGTACCTAATAAAGTGGCCGGAGAGTGTAAATGCGTAAAGCTGTTGATTAGAGTAATTACCTCGGTGCTGTTCAGATCTTGTTCTGGCGTGTTCTCTCTGTGTTTGTGACTGACTGAAGTATTGCTGCTCACTGACCCCTTCAGCGAGTGCAGAGCATTGATGAGGTGACTCAGCTGGACTGTTACCTTCAGACACAACAACATTCAGTGTTTCTTTTAACACCAAATATAAAACTACGTAAAGCAACAGAAATGATTTAAGGACAACAATCATTCAGAAACTCTGTATTGTGTGAAACAATTGAATTGTCGGTTTTACCACTAATAAATGTTATTCAAAGTTTGTTTAACAATGAGACTAGGGGAATAGTAATGGATAACAATTTAATGGCATAAAAAGTATGAAAATATTACTTAAATGGATAGTTTGTTGACATAATAAACTAAAATGATATCAATATTTACTTACCCTCAACTGGTTGCAAACCTTTAAGAGATTCTTTACCATGTTTAACGCAAAATATGGTATTTTGAATAAAGACGAAAATCGGTAACCATTGACTTCCATAGTCGGAATAAAATACTATGGAAGTAAATGGTTACAGCAGGCCCATAGCCAAGGGGCATTCGGGTGGTTTGAAAGATCCACCCCTTACTGATAAAGATTAAAATTTTATTTCACACATGAGCTCATTTGTCCTATTTTGACTGCTATGGCATCATAAATAGTGACAATAATCCACCGAATAGGCTTTAAGATTAAGCGGAATCCTCTGTTGGTGTGACTTCAGCTAGTCAGTTTTGGCCAATGCAAACTATTATTTTTCATCCAGTCCAACATCCAGCTATGCCAGAAAACATAAGAATCTGATGTAAGTGAGGTCATCTTTCACTACTGACTTACTGTATTGTTGTTTAATATAGAAAACTTTATACAAGTAACTTCTATTCTAAATCTTAAATCTTATTCTTGAAACAAAAAAGGAGCAATAAAAAATAATTTGAGTACTAATCTGACTATTTTTGCCATACATGAATTATAAAAAGTATGTTCTTACAAGAGAGGCTAGAAAATTGTGAATTGCTAAATAATTATTATGTTTTTTTATTCAAAGGGTCAAATTCTGACTGAGGAAAGTTGAATGTACTGATCAGTTTGTTATTTGTCTAACAAATATTACTTAAATGGATGGTTTGTCGACAAATTTAAGTAAAATTATATCAATATTTTCTCACCCTCAACTGGTTTCAAACCTTTATGAGATTCTTTACCATGTTTACCGCAAAATATTATATTTTGAATAAAGAGGAAAATCAGTAACCATTGACTTTAATAATAGGAAAAAAATACTATGGAAGTCAATGGTTACCGGTTTCCAGATTTCTTGAAATGATCCTCTTCTTTGTTCAACAAAATGAAGGAAGTCAAACAGGTTTGGATAAAGTGAAAGGTGAGTAAATAATTAAAGAATGCTCAGTTTTGCTGAACTTTCCCTTTTACGTTAACATTACAGTTAGTATACATTGTAAAATTGTGCTAATTATTTTATAACAAATAAACACAATTAACATATGAAAAAACAAAACAGAGATGTGTGATGTGGAATTAACACTAATGACTTAACTTTGGTGGATTTAACAGTATTACTTATGCTGATCGTGTGGCGTCAATGGAAATATATGGCGATTTACTAAACAAAACACTGTAACTAGATTACAAACATACAATAAGTCAACTCTGATATCTCAGCATACTGTTAGAAGTGAAAACCCGCTAAAAAATTGACATTAAATTGAGAGTGCGGTGTCTGTTAGCGGTTAGCCTGCGCATGTGTAAAGTTATGAAACCCGCTGTCGCAAACATTTGTGACCTATTAACGTTACCTGCGGCTGTAGGGTAGTGGAGAGAGAAAACATTTCCGATTAGCTGATGGCAAACTCTTGTGGACGAGGGGATTTTATTGATCAGGAGTTACATATAACGTCCTCCACCGGTGTCCTCTTACGTTAAACAAGCCTCGCAGAAACTGGAAGAAGACCCGTCAACAAAACACTCAAGAGCATCCGGTGCGGAGATGACAAAATAAAAGTCCTAAACCGTAGCGAAATCGTCGTTTCTTCAAGAGTAAAAGCAGATTTTCTTTGGAAATCGCATTTTGTTGTTGAAGCTGCACTGTAAAACTGAGTGAAAACTGTTGTGTAGTCCAGTGTAAAGCAGAGAATCAATGCTAAGAATGTTAAACATGCCTTTGCTTTACTGTGAAAACAGAGAAGAGTGAATGGAAATTAGTTCATTAATTTACCTATTGGTCAACAAATCTGGGCCAGAATTCTTTGCTACCTGTATATTGTTGGTACTGTCAGGTACTTGAGCTTTCATGCTGTTGTTTGTTTTGTCCTCTTTTTATATCATACTAGAGATTTCTGTAGATTTCATAAATACATCAATTTCAGTTAAAAGAAAATGTGAAAAAAGGCTGCGAATTAGAGAATTTCTTTTTTTTTTTTTTTTTTTTTCTTTTAGGGGTTTTCACTTTTATTTGGCTAGGACAGTGGAGATTTTACAGACAGGAAAGAGTGGGGAGCAGAGATAGGGAAAGGATCGGCAAAGGACCTCGAGCCGGAAATCGAACTCAGGTCGCCGTGAGCACCTTGGTGCTTTATATCGTTGCACTAACCACTAGGCTATTACCGCCGACACAAATTAGAGACTTTTTGTTAGTGAATAGAATATTTCTTACACAAAATAAAACATTTTCTGTGGTATATCGGTTTTACCTTTATAGTAACAAATAAAAAAAATAAGCAATGCAATTACCCATAGGAAGATATAAGCTATTTCAAAAGCTTTTGTTTTTTCCAGTGGTGTAAAGTAACTAATTACAAATACTCAAATTACTGTAATTGAGTAGTTTTTCTCAGAAATTGTAATTTACTGAGTAGTTTTAAAAATGTATACTTTTACTCTTCCTTGAGAACATTTTTAGTGCTTTTACTCCACTACTTTCCTTCAACCTGCAGTCACTACTTTATTTTTTCTTGTCTATGGGAATTAGAATAATCAGTTCTGTAATTCCTGTTCAATCAAATCTCAAATAGAAGGTAAATTGCATCATAATGAACTACTTCAAAACATGTGCACTTTATATTGCAGCAGTTTGGAAGCCTTAAAAGTGTCCAAGAAGATGTTCAAAATCTTTACACGCATTGACCCAGAGATGGTTTAGATCAGGGATGCCCAAACACAGTCCTGGAGGGCAGATGTCCTGCAGATTTTAGCTCCAACTTGCCTCAACACACCTGCACGGATGTTTCTAGAAAGCCTAGTATGAGATTGATTAGCTAGCCCAGGTGCGTCTAATTGGGATTGGAACTAAACTTTGCAGGACACCGGCCCTCCAGGACTGAGTATGGGCACCCCTGGTGTAGATGCATGTCACTGATGAGAAGATGATGGATATTTACTCTATGATGATAGTAATGGCTTAAACACCCAGCAGACACAAGACGTCAACATGCTGTCAGATTGAAATTGTACCCTAACGTCATGGGGACGCTGCATTTTGTTTAGAAATTAAAATTAGATTTACATCAAAACTCAACGTCAGCCCGATGTCAATGTCCAACGTCCAACCTAAAACCAACCAAATATCAACGTCTAATGATGTTACAGCTTAACGTTGTGTGGACGTTACCACCATGACATCTATCAGACGTTGAATTTTGGTTGCCATATCTGATGAATCAATGTCAGTATTTAAGGTCAATAGGATGTTGTTTTAAGATGTTGGCTCAACATTGGATTTTGGTCACTTTCTAACAACCTAAAATCAACCAAATATCAACGTCATTTGTTTTCATTATTGGACACTAAAATAATGTTGTCCTTAGATGCTGACTAGATTTAGAATTTTGATCACTTGACATGACAACCTAAATTTAACCTAATATTAACGTCTTATGACATTGTGTGGCTGCTGGGCAATAACTATATGCACTACAGAATGTTACGTTTACACACACATGCACAAATTACATGTAAATGCATCAACTTTTAACAGCATAATTCTCACTACTCATGAGTACTTTTAAAAACTTTTTACTACTACTTGGAGTAATATTTACAACAGGTACTTTTACTCACACTACATTTTCAGGCAAGTAATGGTACTTTTAATTAGGTATGCTTTTCTGTACTCTTTCCACCCCTGGTCTTTTCACGGCAAAAGAATATGTGAATCATTGTTTCGTCTTCAGTTTTACAAAATGAGCATGAAGTATCCACCTCCAGATACTTTGCCCAAGTGCTATTCACTGGATATATTTTATGAAGAATTTTAAAATTAACCTCCCTTTTTTATTGGGAATGCAGTACTTATGAGGTTAAAACAAGGCTTTTCCAGTCTATTAAGTCAATGAAGGATGCCCAGTAAAATCTGCCATTAGGAATATTATACTTTTCATTTTTAGAAAATGTGTTGAACATATTTATTATTACAATTTTTATTTTATCAAATACACTAGTAATTTTATAGATATGCACATGTGTATATATCTATGATTTTATTTAAGTTCAGCTTTGGTTCTTTAATTACATTTTCAATCAAAATTAAATTAGATTTTTTGAGTTGAATTAAGCCTAAAGGAATCGCTTTTTGCACAGCATCAACTTCTTTAAAATGTAATGGAAAATTATAATTAGACACAAATTGCCAGATTTGGAGAGAATATTTTTTTATTGCAATAACAGCAGGCAATTAAAACAGATAGAAATACAAACGGATAAAGTATAGTGATAATGTAACAATATTAAAGGAATATAATAAAGGTAAAGCAAAAGAAAGACAATAAAAAAGAAAAAGAAACAAAAAATAAATAAATAAGGGCACAAGAAAAATAAAACAAATGAATGCAGAATAATAAACAAATCACGTTTTATAAGTGTTAATTGCTTTCTTTTTTTGAGACTCTGTGATGGTTTTTAAAGACAGTTCCAAGTCTCGTTTAGAAAAAAAGGCTTACATTGAGTATATTTGCATTTGTGTATAAAAACCTTTCCAATAAATAAAATAAGGTTAATACAAAAAGTTGAATTAAGTAATAGTTTTTTCTTTAAAATAAAACCCAAACTTGGAGATAATGCCAATTATATACCTGTTAAACAACTTGTATAGAAATATAGATTTGTTTCTAATTCTAATATCACAATTGTTCCATAAAAATGCATTTATGTGGTGAAAAATTATGGGAATAACACAATTTACTCCGTTTGTACTCCGCTCTCTTTAAATCCTGACGTGACGTCATTTTACGCCACGGGAACTGCTTGGGTCCCAAACAGTCCCACCCACCTCCGCTGCTTCAGCTCTGATTGACAATAATGGCGACGCGTCCGTCTGGAGTTGTGCCTCAATGAAACAGCTCCCAAGAACGCATTTGCGCCAAACATTTCTTATCATCCGGACTTAAAGATACCTTCCACGGAAACCAAACAGGAATGATCCCCGAATCCCATTCTGCGAGGAAATATTAAGTTCTGCTGGTGCGATTCTTGGGAAAGCACTAACAAAGGTCTCCTCATCCGTGGCGTTGTGGCTGCTGTTTACAGACCCGAGCGTGCGTTTGTTTCGAGCATGAAGGACTGCGCTTTCTTCACCTACCGCCATTCATTCAGGAATTATATCTGAACTCGAGTAAACCAGAAGGTTTTAATCAAAGTGCTTCAGCTGGACTGTTTTTGCAAACGCTTTTCCTGCACAGACATTCTGAACCGCGTCGCGCGAAGTTGGACCATCTGTTGAACGTTTGCGAGCGCACCGCAAAGTTCTCAACGCGTTTATTTTTTTAACATTTAATCGCAAAACAACTGTTGTTGTTTCCTAAAGCGAACGTTTTTGTTGCGTTTATGCTAACGCCAAGCAACTTTGGAGAGGTTAGCTATAGCTGGTTAGCCTAGACTCGCTAACTGGCCTCTGCTAAAAGGGCCGTTAGTGACCTAAACGTATTGTTTTTCTACATTTATTCATAACGTGTAATAATAACAACTACAAAGTTTGTTTTCTAATAATCTCTGTACGTTATATTTCACTAAAACAGTTGCATTTATGAGTCGACAACTTGAGCAGTTGTGAAAAGCATTAGCACTCCAAAAAAACTTCAGTTAAACATTTTCCTTAAGGAATTAACGTAAGCATTCTCTCTGTGTTTTGCTATACAGCAAGAGTGACCTCCATCATTGGCCATATGTAAGACGAACCAGTCCTTTTAAAACCCAATATTCTCAAAGCTGGCTGAACCGCCAGCTAAAAGTAACTTAAATCGCAACTTTTGCTCGTAAATGACCACCGGCAGGAATAACCGAGTGATGATGGAAGGAGTGGGTGCTCGAGTTATCCGCGGGCCTGACTGGAAGTGGGGGAAGCAGGACGGCGGAGAAGGGCATGTGGGCACCGTCAGGAGCTTCGAGAGCCCGGAGGAGGTGGTGGTGGTGTGGGATAACGGCACCGCCGCCAATTACCGCTGCTCCGGGGCTTATGATGTGAGGATATTGGACAGTGCGCCTACAGGTGAGGCTGCAGAGCTAATTGACTTCATCTCTCACCTTATCTAAACATCAGCTAACTAATTTATTAGAATAAAACACGCGTTTCTAATACTGCAGTTGAGGTGTATTTGTATTTTGTGAACTGTATAATGTATAATAAAGTGCTAGTTCACACTTTAATAATAATTGCAAATTTAATCCATTGCCATTGTCATTCATTCAGTCATTTTTAAAGTCCCTTTATTAATCTGGGGTCGCCACAGCGAAATGAACCGCCAACTTATCCAGCAAGTTTTTACGCAGCGGATGCCCTTCCAGCCGCAACCCATCTCTGGGAAACATCCACACACACACTCATACACTATGGACAATTTAGCCTACCCAATTCACTTATACCGCATGTCTTTGGACTATGGGGGAAACCAGAGGAAACCCACACGAAGGCAGGGAGAACATGCAAACTCCACACAGA